CTGGAGAGATATGGACTATCATCTCTGTTACCTGCGGATGCCAGGAGGCGGAGGACGAGAGAGTGTCAGGTCAGTCGTGCGAGCAGAGCCTGCAAAACAACCTCCGGCATTTCGCGCTTCACTGCAGCTCGAGCCGAGTCAGCGACCTGGCGGCTGGAAGTCAGCTACTGAAGGGGCAGAAGAAGAGAAAGTAGAGCCAGAAGAGCTCAAGAAAGGTGGTGGTGGTGGTGGTGGTGGTGATGATGATGATGAGGAGGAGGAGGAGGAGATGGAAGGGGAGACCTGGGACGCAGCAGACACAGACAACTCGCACTGAACTTCGATCTGAGCATCGACGATGTGATAAGGACCCATACGGCGATGGCGGACAGCTTGAATCCTCGAGACACCTTCAGGAGTTCGAGAGCATCCACGACGAAGCAGCAAACAAAGTGGCGATTGCAACAAGAGCATGTTAGCGCAGGGAGCAGCAGGCAACAAGAAGGCAAGACAGACAATGAACCTGGAACTGCTCCTATGGTCTCTGCCAGAGCCTACAGCAAGTCAGGAGCTAGGGGGGACTGTCGGGTCCGAGTACCTCAATGAAATCCTCCTCGTTGGCGTCAGTGAGTTCCCGCACGCTCTGAAGGACCATCTCTCCTCCTTGGTTGCGTCAGAGACGTTTGAAAGAGAGGGGACAGAGGAAAGCAATCAAACGAGTTACTCGAGGAGGAGACGGAAAGGAGGTAGAGGATGATGACAAGAAGGAGGAGAGAAGGCGAAAGCAGATGAATGAGATCGCACAAGGAAGTGAAGGACATACCGGTCTTTGCTATCATGAGTCCAACGACTCCAGCAGCGATCGGGTCCATGATGGGATAGCCGGACATGGCTGCGCCAATACCGACCATGGCAACCACAGAAGACACTGACAGAAAAGATGAGTTCGAGCAGGGGAGTGGGCAAGGAGGAGGAAGGGGAGGAGGAAGGAATTTCATGTTGAAGACATGAACAGCAAACGTGAGAGAGGGAGAAGGAGCGGGGGGATCATCGGGTTTGTCAAACAGAAGCTTGGGGGAGCAAGTGGTCTGACAGGCGTCTGATCGATGATGCCAGGCGTTGGCTATCACTGTCTGACTTCTTGCTCGGTTGCCAGCCTTGAGCGTGATGTGGAACAGAGCCTCGTTGAGCCCGATCGCCGCCATGCTGATCCACAGCGCTGCAGCCGTGGGTACCGCTGCTCCCTCCACCGCCTGCCCGAGTCACGTCCCTCGTTCGTGCAAGCAAGAAATGGCAGACCTGCAGCAGCTCGACAGAGTGATAGGCAAGCCCACCGCCAGCAGCAACAAGCATGCTCGACACCTTGACAGATAGTCATACCCCAGCTGTCATCGACCTATTCGCTAGCACGACTCACACACAGGGCCCCGATGGACTCGAACTTGCCGTGCCCTGCGGTTCGATCAATATCGGGCCGAGGAAGAGAGATCAAGAAGAAGAAGAGAGAAACCACAAGAGCAAGAGGAGGAGAGAAAAAAAGAGCAGAAAGACAGTTGGAATCATCATGGTGGCTCAACAAACAAGGAAGAAGGGGAAGGAGATGATGAAGGAGGAGATGAAGGAGGAGGAGGGGGGGCAGCTGACCGTAGGGGTATTTCTTGTCTGCTGGAAGATGTGCAACTTTGAGGGTGGCGAGGGCGACAAGGTCAGCGACCATGTCGGAGAGCGAGTGAATGGCGTCGGCTATGAGAGCCGAGGAGTTGGCGGTGACGCCGAAAACGCCTGGGAAGCAGCAGCAAGGGACATTACAAAGTGCGATGTAGGACGACACCGGAGGACAATATCGCCGGGAGAGGGAGGGGGGGGGGAGGGAGGGAGAAGGAGAAAGTGGGGGAAAGGGGGGGGGGGCGGGGGAGAGACAGAGAGATAGAGAGATGTAGAGACAGGAAGGATGCGGAAGTAGAGCAGTGGGGCGCCCACACGGGAGCAAGAGCACAAGGTCAACACGCCACAATTACCTTTCCCGACGCACAACACAATGTTCTTCCCGAGTCCAAGGTACGTCACGTTGAGCGCCTCTCGGTGGTTGGCCTCGTCGTCCGGCTTGCCCTCCTCGCCCTTGGCGTCCTCACGAGCAACATCCTTAATCTTCCGCACGTCATGACCCAAGACTCTGCTAGAGTGAAACCATCGCTCCCTAGTTGCCTCCTGCGGCCGCGATCGCCCTCCCCTTGCACATGTGGTATAGCACTGGCTGCTTACCAGCTGCAGCTGTCTGCTCCGGGCATGAAGGCAAAGCTGATGCGTCAGTCCATCGGACCTGATCCACTTGGGGTGCACAATTGCAGTCAACTGTGGCGTTACGCGCATGCTCCTCGACACGCTTGTCCCGCCACATATGAGTTTCCCAGTGAGGTACACAGATTTGGCCTTCATGGGAGTGCAGGCTGGCCTGTAACAAGACGTCATTCGAGATGAATCCAATCTCTCCCTCTCTGACTGTTTATCTCTGGTTGTCCTTCTCTCTTGTACTCTTGCACTCTCGCAACCCTCGTTCCTTGCTTTCGGCGCCATCGCCTCCAATCACCTTCCAGGGTGTCTAGCAGGCCGTCCATCTACCTCATACTCTATCTACCTATCCTCTCATCCTCCCTCTCCCTAAGTTTGTGTGGTGTGCTCTCTGACTATCTCCATACCTCTCCCTCCCCTCCTCTCGCTCTGCATGCCCCCCCGTCAAGTTTGTGTGGTGTGCATTTCATACAGATACCCCTCCTTCCCGCTCAGACCCGGGGGCTCCGCAGTAAAACAGGCGGCACCCGGCCACCTATCGTGCACGGGGTGACTGATATCTTTAGTTAACTCAGGAGATCCGCCCCTTGCGCGTGTTTCACTATCCGTCCTCCTCGCAGGGGCCTTGCGCTACTGCTCTTTGTCCTGATCCTTGTTCCCCTGCTTGTCGTGCATGCCGTCGCTTACGTGGTTGGAGTGCCGGTTTTCGCTGCCTCCTTCGTTTCCTAGTATTTTATTGAGGCGGGTTTGTAGGCTCTATCCTCCCCCTCCTTTGTTTGCTCCGGTTTGCCCTTCTAGTCACCAGAGGAGTGACAAGGAGAGCGAACGACGACCGCCATGATGGCAGCGGAGAACATGAGAGCCTATAGCTAGTGGAAGACTCTGGAAGGTATGCGTGCTAACAAATACAGCCCGGAGTTTCTCGGCGTAGCCGCAAGAGAACATGCAGCGCGTTATCTCACCAGGGGTCATCAGTGCTGGAAAAGATGGGGAGAAAACCCATGGGCGGGACAAGCAAACCAGGCTAGACACGATGAAAACGATCAATGGTGTGCCTCTACTTGAACGTTCAGGATCGAGCCCAGTCAAGCGAATCATGTTGTTCAACGCAGCTACGATCAATCATCCAACTCGTTTTATGGCTTGTGGCAGTACGAAGGTGCAATTCCCCATGAAGTCTTCTATCTGCTAGTTGTCAGGTCTGTATTGCAGTGACGGATACTTTGCCTATACGTGCACACACGAATACCAGACTCCTTCATCCGCGTAACATGTTCCACACAACGGTTCTTGTGTCATCGCACCTTCGATATAATGGTTGTTTGCACCTTCGATGTGAGGGTTGTTTTACTTCACCTCCTAGTGGAGCAATAGAGAAGCTTGTATGGTATGCCGGGATGCTGCCCGGACTTAGCTCGAAATGGTTGGCTCATATCCATCATCTCAATCATCAACTTGATCAGGTCGGAGTCACCGCGGCCACTACCGTACCGTACGTGGCTCAGCCTGTAAGGGCCCTCTAGTACCGCATGGTGATGGCGCGGCTGCGACTCGCCCGTGACGCTGACCGCCGGCCCGGGTTCTGCCAGGGCCCCTCCGGCACCGGCCTTCACTGCCAGCCTCAGCCTCTCAGAACTGTACCGGGTCGGACTCCGAGTCCGTGACGGAGGCTCAGTCGCGTGGCGTGACGACTGAGTCAGACCGCCCCCGTGGCTCGTTCTCAGCGGCCTCAGGCGGCTTCAGAACCTGCGGCACTGAATTCGCGGCCTCAGCGCCTCGGACTGCGCTGCCAACCGTCCGACGGTACGGTCAGTTGTGACAGTCACTGAGTCACTGTCGGAAACTTACTGAAGGGGACAGCACAGTCGGCACTGCGGCAGGCCCGGATAAGGGTTGGTTCTCGCTGTCTTTTCTCTTCTCGTCGTATGGCCTGTGCCAAGCCTGCTGAGTCCGATACTCTCCTGATTCAATCAGTGTCCTCGTACTGATTTTTAACCGTTGAACTTAACTTTGGTAACTTGACAGGCTGAGGGAAAGTCACTGGCTCGAACCATTGAACCCGGCCCGGCCGCCCCGGCCGCGGCCGGGCCGTTCCCGGAGTCCGGGCCAACCGTTGAACCGTCGGAGGGCCACCGGTCACCGGGTACGTGGCTGACCGTCACGGACGGCATGCGGCACGGTATTACCGGGTAACTGCCAAGTTCAATTGACGGTCCGCATGATCACTGTATCACTGAAGCCCGGCCATGATGATGGCATAGGCTTGATTCACGGTATCGTGATCGGACAGGCTAACCGTAATAACTCAAGTGTCCAATGATCAGTGCCCGGCCCGGGGCCAGGGCCGCGGCATCGGATCGGACTGATGACGACTGAGTCGGACGGCACCGCCGCCGGGTGACGGACCGGGAGTTCGGTCACCCGTTGAACCGTTGAACGGTTTGAGTCGGTGGCACTACTAGGGCCAACGGTTGCCAGTCGGGCCCGAGTCACCTCGGGCTCAGTCACGCCGCCCCCGCCGCAGACCGGGACGGACCGCCGCCGTCACGCCCGCGCGGCGGCCCCGTGCTTGGTAGGCACTGGCATGATCGGCCGGGCACACCGGGGCCGACCGGACGGGCAAAGTTCCGATCGGACGGCCCGGCTTCACTGAGTCAAGGCTAACTTAACGGTAACTTAAGTTAGTAAGTTGTAAACCGTTTAGTAAAGCTGAGCCTGACTGACTTCAAAGTCAGGCTCAGCGGCCGGCAGGCACCGTCACTCCGTCACTCAGTAATCGGACCGAACCGTAAGTTGACTCGCGTTCCGAAGCTCGCCGCGCACCCGTGGCCGCCCAGTGACCGCCGTCCGATCGCTGCGCCGCCGCGCGATGGTAGAATCTGTCACGACGACAGGCTGACCGTGGCAGCGGCGGACAGTTTAGTTACTCAAAGTTAAGTTAAAAATCAGTACGTGACAACTTGTACGGTACTTCAAGTTTAAACGCGAATAACCAGGTCTTATCGTGGAAGCAGATAAATGCTCGACCCCACCCCTACTCAGAAGGGCATTTGACCCCCTCGTTTCAGATACGCTCACCAGTTGGGAGTCGTTAAGAGCCATCCCGGAGGGTCCGGTAACGTGACGGCTGACGGGGGTCACGGCGGTTTAACGCTCCGGTCTCCGTCAAGTACCCGAAAAATGGAGGAAAGTTGGGGGTAGGGTGGTGCAGGGGATGCGACCTTGCAGCTTCGAAGCGATGCCTTGCCTTGCCTTTCCTCCTGTCACTCCTCTTAAGCCCGTAAAGAAATCTCGTCTTAAGCGTCTCCTCCTGCAGATAGATCAAGATTGATTCCTCTCCTTGCAACCTCCTCGCCTCCATCCCCCAGCCTTGCTTCCTCTCTTCTCTCCGCCTCCTACCTTGAATTCCTCGCTGTGTCTGGTTCATTCTCAGCTCTTGTTGCTTCGCACATTGTTTTGTGGCTCGTTAGTGCACATTTCTCGCACTTTCCTCAGATATTTCTGCGACATGATCGAACAATCTTCGCAGAGCTCAACTCTCCTCCTTTCGTCTCATCTCAGACCTCATTTGCATTGCTCGAGTTTTGGAGATTCGCATGGGGCCCTGGTGATGCAAAGCCCCTCAGCATGTTCCGCTGGTCGAAGGCGAGCAAGTCTGGTGGTCTCAACTGCATGTGCACGAGCACACGCTGCCAGCTTCTGCGTGCGACGCAACACCATCTACAGTCAAGTCCAGGACGATTTCAATGATCGACAAGTCAGCGGCAGCGCTTCAGGCTGTGTCGCCTTTAGTATCATCAACCTGGAAATAACCAGGAGGCCATGCATTGATCATAACGGAAATGTCCTTGAAGATGGAGCGATGAAAGTGCTGAAGATGTCAGAGAAATCGCTAGGCCCATCCATAAATCAAGACGGGAACTTCTTGGGTTGTGGTTGCAAGGCAGACTGCAGGTGAAACGAGCTCGTGAGGGAGCTTCAGGTTGTATAGAAGGATGAAAATGGGTAGGAAGGGTAGGAAATGAATAAACGGTCAAAAACGACATCCTAGTCAAAACCGATACAAGAAGGGTACATGAAATTGTAACGATTCCCGCTGGTTCTTATGATTGTGAAGTCAGCGAGGTATGTGACATACTCTGCAAACGTGGGTTGAGTTAAACGGAGCATTCATTCAATCTTACATTCATTGCATTCATATCTTACAGACAAGTCAAAGTTAGCACAGGGCGCATGGCAAAGAAACAAGAGAGGTTCCAAGAAGCAAGTGAGAGTCGCAAGTGTGCAGGAGGAAGGGTTCTGAGCAGAACGCAGCCCCAAGAACATCCCAGCTGTACGGGAAGGAGACCTTCCTAGCTACTCCCAAGGCCCCTGACGTCCCGATCACAACTGAAGGGTGTCCATGCAGAACAGGGAAGAGCCATCGTCAATCTCTTGCTGCCCCAGCTCCTGCATCTCATGCTGAAGCGAGTCAGCGGTGAGGTCCCCTCCTGCAGCAGGTCCTCACCTGCATGTGCCGGAGGTTCGGAGAAGGCTGGATGAGCGGCGAGACGGTGCTGGCAGTGATGGCAGACTGCCCGGAAGTCAGATGGCGGCTGGCGGGACACAAGGAGAGGAAAGGAAGGAAAGCAAGGGGCTATAGAGCAGATTTGGAGGGGAACAGAAGAGGAACAGGAGGAGGCAGATGCGTTGGCTTACCAGCTTTTCTTCCCTTGGCTTCTCCCAGACCTCAAATACGGAATCCTGAAAGGGGAGTAAGGAGAGCAGGATATGCACAGGCTGCCTCCCTAACCAGGAACTCCGATCGGTTCTCAGCAAGTTCTTGTCCTGGCGTTGGCACTGATCCACTCTGCGCTCTCCCCGTCACTGAGAGGAACCGCTGCATGCTCAACAACCGGTGTGGTCTCGGCGGATCGCTCGAGCATGGCTGCTAGCTGCTGGGATAGACGCTCAGGAGTCCTAAATGCATCCTTGGAGGAAGAGCTCGAAGCAGCAGCCATCGAGGTGTCTGCAGCAGGATAGGAGGAGGATGACGCCTCTGTCGCCTCCTGCAGGTGCGTCATCATCTTACAACAGCTTCCTCTTCCCACCCACCTGCTTTCTCGCCGCTCGCTGCTCACTGATCAGCATCTGCAACCTGCTCGCAACCATCAGACGCCGCCCATGCTCCTGTGCCAGCTCACAGTCCCGTTGTCGTCGTCGTAGCATGAGCAAGAGTGTGAAACGACCAGCGCCGCGTCGTCAACGTCTTGCTGCTCGTTCTCCTCGTCAGCGGCCTGAGGATGCGCTACCCCTCGACTCACATGAGGTCCTGCCGAGAGGCTGCGGTGGTCGCTGGGACGAGGGGAGAGCGATCGATGGCGCGCACGCCTGTTCCTCCTCCTGTCCTGGGACCCGGGTGCAGACGAACCACAAACAGTCTTTCTCGCAGCTGCCAACGCGTTAAACGATATACCATAGCAAGCAACAGAGGGCAGGGGTACACGGCGCAGACAACGAGAGAAGCATACGAGGGGGTAGGCGAGCAGGGAGGGGATTGGAAGGAGTGTCCAGTACCTGCTGCTGGGATGCGAAGGAGATACGGTTGGCACTTGCTGCTTCCACTTTGGCAAAGGTGCACTCCAGGTAGAGGTGACGGGCGGGGAGGAGCGTCGGGGGGTAGTTGAGGATGCTGCCATGGGCTCCACACTGGTAAGCGTCGATGATCTTGGCGGCCGCGGCGCTTCGCAGGAGCTTCTTGAGCCACAGGGACATCCTGATGGACCACTGGAGCCGCACGTCCGCCGGCCTCCTCGAGAAGATCTGGCAGTTGGAGTCGTGGGGAGGAGGGACCCGCAGGTGGATGAAGGAGAAGCCGCAAAGCTTCATGTACTCCAGGTAGCCGTACATGATCCCCCGCACCAGCTCCTCCCTCTCCTCCCCCCTCTCGTTCGGCCTCAGCGGCAGCCCGTCTATGCATTCGATGTAGACCCTCCCGGTGTTGGGGGCCTGCGCGTCTGCTCCGAACTCGTTGGTGTACATGGCAAACAGCAGGATCTCTTTCCCCCCTCTCGCTTCCTGGAACGCCATGATCGCCTTAGAGCGATGCAGGTACCCTCCTGCCGTTGAGACCTTCTCCCCGACCACCCGTACCCTCACAGGCATGCTGCTCTTGTACACGCTCCTTACTTTCCCCGTAATATGCTGCGCCATCGGCGTGTCCTCGAGTTGCTCACTAGACGTCTCCCCCTGCATTGCCCCTCTGCTTGAAGACCCTCCTTCTTCCATGCAGCCATCCTCTCCTTCCTCGTCCTCCTGCTGTTTCAACCCTGCTCGCCTTGCAGGATCCTGCATGTCAGCCAACTCGTCACGATCGTCAAGCTTCCGCTTCCCCTTCTTAGTGAAAGAAACTTCAGCCATCCCGTCGTTGGCAGGAGAAGCTTCATCAAACGACAGGGGAGGGGGATCGTTGCTCGACCTCCTCCATGGCAGGTAACCGTGCCCATCCTCAAGTGGCACCACTATCCTGTACTGGTCCACCAGCCCCTTTATCCTCTCCGCAAGGGTCACCTCTGACAGCTTCCCAGCCTCGTAGCTCTGCAGTGCCTCGATGAGAGCCATCCTCCCCTCCGTCGGGAGGAGGCGGCTCAGCGACCTCATGAGCGACTTGAGGAAGGACATGGTTCGAGGGACGGCCTTGCTTCCCAGCTCCTTCTTCAGCCTCGTCATCACCGAGCCGTTAACCTCTTTGGGCATCCACTTGCTCTCAAAATCTGCCCTCCTGCTCGACGGCACCACCCTGTGGTGCTGCAGATACGGCGAGAGGATCGGAGGCCCCCTCCTGTGCTCGACCTTCATCAGCAGCGAGCCTCCTCCGTCGTCCTCCCTTCCTCCCCTGTGCACCCCCTTCGCCTCCTGCGGCGTCCCCCCAAAGATTTCAGCCTCGATGCTATCAAGCTCGTTCAGATCCTCGTTCAGATCCACCTCCGAGTCCTCGCTTCCTTCGGGGATGAGATCCGCAAACTGCTCCGCGTTGGAGCGCAGGAGGCTGCTCTGCGTTGACTTCCTGCCTCCCACATGTCCTGAGTGCAGATCGGCTGTCAATCTTGCATGTTCTTGTCCTCTGCTTGTCTTAGCTAGCGCTCTTGAGCTCTCCGTCAAGCCAGGCTTCAGGTGGGCACCTTCCACCTTGAACTTTTCGTTCATGGCGGTAGATAGGCGCTCACCTCTGTGAAGGCAGGAGTCAGGCGACCACACACACAAAACCTCATGGAACGTGTTTGATGTCAAGACTCGTGGAGTAAACGCTTCAAAAAGACGCACCATGGTCGAACATTTCCTCACGCCACTTTCTCTACCTAGTCTAGCTTCACCCACATGTTCGACACTTTTGAAACTGATGCAATGACTGCACAAGGCTTCTTGCTAAAAATGTTGGGGATACTCAATCTCTAACTTTGAATTTGCCATGCTAAAGGCCTTGTCTGCTCCTAGAACATCTTTCAAAAGGGTTCAGCTACTCATTGTGTTCGTGCCCCAAAGTATTGAGATCTGCAAACCAGACAGGCACGACATCGATGAGTACGAAGAGAAGAATCAACATCAAACAAAGTCCCAAGACAACAATATTGATATCAGGTAGCAAAGTCAGCGCTACGCATCGCGCCAGCGGCATGCAGCCACTCCTATCAGAAACGGGGGCCGGAGGAGGCCGGGAGTGGTCTTGGAGGGTGCGGGAGCAGAAGCTGTGATAGGACATCAAGTGCATGGAAAGAGAAGGAGAAATCTCATGGAGGTCGTGTATGTACTGGAGTAGGAGGGACAAGCGACATCGCTCTTGAACGATAGGAAGGCTCATCCCCTCCTGTGGGGCGGCAACAGCCAGCATGGCAGGCGGCAGCAGATGTTTCTATCAATTGCACAAAAGGGTGAGACTAGTTCAGGAAAATTTGATCAGCCCCGGTGTGATACCACAAGACACAATACATAATAATTAGTTACTCAAATATAGTAGATGAAAATCAGACCAAAAAATAAAGCTTAACTCAAAATATGATTTAACCTTGGAACTGCAGAAAACCCTGAGCTCTTCCGTCGTGTCCTTCCTGGGGTACTAGGAATAACCGTGTGATACCACTACGCAATTGTGTGTCAATCTCTGTGATATGTATTTTGAATTGCTTTTGATGTACAGGAAATCTGAAAAAGAATCTGTGAAGTTCTGTGACATTCCGTGTGATTTGAAATAAAAGTGTTTTAATAGAAGGACTAGCTATTAAGTCGATTCGATCTCTTTATGGTCCCATTACCATCAAAAACACAACGATCAGAAATTTATAATTGTTTTGAGATGAATATAGAACTTAAAAATGAAAATGGTATCTCTTGACATGGGCATGAGGTGTAAATTTAGTACCACTGATCGCCATTACATCCGTTTTCACAACGGTTCAAGATGCTCGAACGATCTTTTTACTACTCTGCCCGATCGTACGGTGGGCCCGGGGCCCGGGGCCCGGTGTAGCTCGGGTCCTTGAACACTGAACCTTGACTTCAAACGTGCACGTGCGCGCGCCAAACCAAGCAAGGGGGAAACTGTGCAGAGACGAGGGGAGGGCAAGGCAAAGAAGAGCAGAGAAGGTTAGAGAACAGGAGAGCAGGAGAGAGCAGGAAAGAGCAGATGCAAGGAGGGCATGAGTGTAGGAGTTGTAGAGGAGAGCGGCAAGAAGGCAAGAGCTCATGCTAGTTTCAACAGCAGATGGTTGCTGATTGATGTGGAGACCATGCCTGGAATCAGCTGGTTAGCTCAACATCCCTCGATTCTCCATGTGATAGAGCAAAGCTGCAGCCTGTTGCTTTGCAATCGCTCTTTGCTGCTCTTGAGCACTATGCGCTCATTCTACTTCGCGACAGTGCAATCTGCGGCAACTGAGAACATTGTGTTTGCAGGATGGTGAAGAAGAAGCTCCCTTCCGAAGAGGACAGGGCAGCTACCAAGCACATTGGGAACAAGGCAAAAAGACAAGAGGTTTATGACAGGATCAAGAAACAAAAGAAAGCGATCAAGAAAGCCAAGAAGGAGCAGAGGAAGAAAGATGCCGAGGACCCGGAGAAGAAGGACCTCCCCAAGCAAGTCCCCAGGACCTTGGAGAACATGCGCGAGGCCGACGAGACCATCATGGAGTCCGAAGACGAGGAGATCCGACGTGATGAGGAGGAGGATGAGTTCCGGAAATATTTCGACGGCGAACCTCCTAGAACGATCATCACGACCAACAACCATCCTTCGAAGCCTCTGATCGAACTGGTCAAGTCCCTTCTTGTGCTGATCCCTGGATCGTACTACTATTCCCGACGCAACTACAACATCAAGGACATCTGCAAGTGGGCGGGGGAGAGAGGGTTCACCAACTTGATTATCCTCGGTCAGGGTTTACAGCTCGGTGGGCACAAGAAGCTCCCATGCTCAATGCTGCTCATCCACCTGCCGGAAGGCCCCACTCTGCATTTCCGCCTCTCAAGCGTGAAGCTTCCGGATCAGATCAAGAACCATGCCAGGGCAACCAAACACAAGCCTGAGCTCATTCTGAACAACTTCACAACGAGGCTGGGTCAACGAGTTAGCCGTGCATTCTCAAGCTTGTTTCCACAGGTGCAGCTATTCCTCTCTCTTGTGTTGTGCTGCAACCGACTATCACTTCCTCTGATGACACCGAGGGGCTGATCGCATATCAGATACTCTTAACTACGACGGTATCTGAGGAACCTTTCCTGGGATACCGTCGGAGTTCATTAGCATGGATAGGCTTGAGACTGACTTCCATGTTCCCTGACAGGATCCTCAGTTCACGGGAAGACGGGTTGTCACATTTCACTGTCAAAGAGACTACGTCTTCGTGCGACATCACAGGTATATCCCGGCCCTTGCTCTCGTCACGGTCTTCTCTCCCCATCGTGCTCTGTCCTGTGAGGAGATTATGGTTTCTAGCCTCCCATGCTAGACATCTTTTACTACGACGGTATCTGAGGACGTTCCTTGTGCAGCTTCCTTGTAGTCCTTGTTCCCTGGAGGTGCGCAGAGCGAGAGTCTTATCAGCCATGGCAGGTACATCTTCCCCGACGACAAGCAAGGGGAGAAGGCTCGTCTGCAGGTGCGGGCTCTGCTCTCTTTCCTTAGATGTCTGACGAGGTGGAGCAGGAGATTGGCCCTAAGTTCACTCTGAAGCTGAAGAGCATGCAGGCGGGGACATTCGATAGCAGGTGAGTCACCAGTCCATATATTGAAGTACTCCTCTTCCTCCCTACTCTCTCCTAGCTCCGGCCAGTCCACAGCCCCTATGTCTCGTTTCTTCTGGAACCTTCTTTGCCTTCGTTCCTGCTGTCCTTTCCTCGTACATGCCCTTTGTTCCGTGCTGCTTTTTCTTTTCTTCTTTTTCTTCTTTTCTTCTTCTAGCTGACGCTCTTCCACTAGTCGCGGCGAATACGAATGGATCCACAAGAAAGAAAACTTGGGGAGCAAGAAGAAGTTCGCGTTGTAATCTCATCCTACCCTACAACCCGGTGGAAATGGTGGCGTCTTTCTTTCCTCCTGCTTCTGTCATCCAGTCCCTGTTCCTTCCTCCTCTCTTCTTTTCTCTCTGCCGCTCTTGTTCTTTGATTTTACTGTAAACATTGTAAATAAAGCGTGTTCATTCCCTGCTACCTCTCCTTCTCTCCATGTCAGCTCCACGCTGTTCTCCTCCTCTCCCCATTACCTTGAAACTTAAACACATCCTCCCCGAATAGTCCCGTGCTCCCTCCTCTAAACGAAGGGACTTATAAGGACCCACCCTCTACCCCCCTTCCCCATCGCCTCCACTTCCCCTCCATGGTCCTGCTGCGACTCCATGCGTGGGTCGTACTGGGAGTTTCGCTGTGCTCAGCCTGGGAGCTTCCTCCTTCCCTCCCTTCGAGCCAAGGCCCGTCCACCTGTACATGGCAGTCCTCCCCGCGAGGACTCGACCACCGCAGAAAATTCCTTTCCTCTTCTGTCGGTAGTGCCGCGGCAGCCCTGTGCCTCTCCTACCTCGCGTTGAGGCAGAGAGGAGGCGGGTCAGAGGGCAGAGCTCCTTCCTCACAGGCTCTCAGGATGAGCATCGTCGATAGCGCCGTGCATGTCTGGAAGCAGGACCGCAACTACCCCTGGGCCACCCCCAACCCTCCAGCCGCTGATGCTTCTGCAGAGGAGCTCATCGCTCTCATGGACGCCAACGGGGTGGACAAGACCGTTCTTGTGCAGCCCATCTGCTACCTCTGGGACAACTCCTATGTGCGAGACTGCATGCGGCGCTTTCCTGGCCGCTTCGCGGCGGTGGCGCGGGTGAATCCGGAGGACGATGCTTCAGTGGAGAAGTTGGAGGAGCTTTCGAAGGAGGGTTTCATCGGAGTATGCTGCATTCTTCACTGCTCTACCCTGCTCTGATCTCATGCCGTATCTCAACACCTCTTCCCGCCTCACTCTCTACCTTGCTTCTCTCGTCCCTGGTTGCTTTCTCCGCTTGTCTACAACACAACAACGTTCTGAACCATCCTCATAGCCTCAATGTCTCTAAGGCTCAAGCTTGCACTCCTCCCCTTTCTGAACAGACCCACTTCTTTCTCTTCCGTTCTCATGCTGTTATCTCAGGTTCGTTTCGGCCCGCTGGATCGAGGATGGTGGGAGTCCGAGCGCATGCGAAACATCTTGAAGAAGGCAGAGGAGCTCAAGTTTCCAGTTCTCCTCTTTCTTGGCAAGGACGGCGGAAAGTCTCTGCAATGGGTCGCTCCAAGGATAAAGGAGGTGGGTGCGGAGGAAGGAGGACGACGTATGCCTGAGCTCCCAGCAGTTTCCCAACGTCAAGTTCATAGTGGACCACATGGCCGACGTTCCACCATCTGACGATCAGCAGGTAGGATAGCCTAGAGGCGACGGCATCCTCCTCCTCATAACACACGTACACAGATCGACGAGCTTCTGTCCCTTGCATCCTCTCCCAACGTCTTGGTCAAGGTGCTTGCAAGCTGCGCTGCTTCGTCGCTCGGCCCATGAGCCCTTCTGTCCTATCAGATCTCCCATGTCTGGGCCATCAGCACGGGGCAGTATCCATGGTCAGACGCCATCAGTGTGGTGCAGAAGGTTGGCAACCCAGCCGACGTTGCCTGCTGTGTGGTGTTGACAAGGGGATGAGGTCGTGCGGAGATTTGGGCCCGATCGCTGCATGTTTGCATCCGACTGGCCAGTTTGCAAGATGCCTACCTGGCCAGGAGGAAACACGTCTTATGATATGACGGTAGAATTCCTACAGTGTTGATCTTCAACCGTCTGCTCACAGCATGTCTGCGCAGGTGAAGTTGGCCAAGGAGGAGTATAAGTTCCTTACGGAGGACGAGCTTGCATGGTCAGATCTTGTCCCCTTGCCCCCCCCCCCCCCCCCCCCCCCGCACACACACACACACACACATCCGATCTACCCCACATTCAGTGCACACACATTTGCAACATTTCCACCTCCACCTCCCGTCACTTGCGCTACTCAGTGCAATCCGCCCTGACCCCAACTTGTTCCTTGTTCTCGTCTCCATGAATCACTGCTTGTAGTGTTCACATAACTTTAGTGATGCCGCCTGAGATTGGATGCAATCGGATTCTTGGAAAACGGTCTGAGTGACTCTTGAACTGGCAGGATTCTCGGAGGAACTGCCTCTTCCATTTGGTTCCCAGCCTCGGGAACGCACGGCTGAGCCGCAACTCAGGCGGCGGGTCTGGCAACTGCCGCGCCGAGTAAGGTAGTACGGTCAGCCTCCTTGCGTCACTCAGTGCCGGCGGAGCCTAGGCCCCTAGCCTTCACCGCGTCCGATCCCCGGGCCCCGGCCGCCGGGTGACGGCAGTGAGCCGGGCTTCCGGACGGTCCATCTGATGATCGGACCGTGACGCCGGACTGACCGTCATATAAGTTTGGGGGACAGCAGTCGGCAGGATTGGGTTTGGTTCTCGCTGTCTTTCTCTTCTCGCCGTTTGGCCAGTCACGGTGCGACAGTGTCCGATCAGGGTCAAGCCTCCTCGACTATCCTGATTGTCCTCGTACTGATTTTTAACTTAACTTTGAGTAAAAAGTCATAGCGGGCCGCGCCGGTCAGAGGCTCACCTTCCACAGTCGCCATCCGGGCCGGGCCGGACGGTCCCGGCCGCGGGCTTCGAAGTTCGGCGCCGCGCGGCGGGCCGGGCTCTCATCGGATCTGACGGCCCGCCTCAGATGTGTCACAGTATGTTTCAAGTAAAAACCAAAGTAGTAAACATGTTTTAACTTAACTTTGAGTAAACATGTGTTGGCTGTTTTGAAAATCGCGGCATTGCGGGAAGTGGCGTGTACGGACGTTGGCGAGCAGCAACCGGTCCTCCCACTTTGGGCTTGCAGAAGTGAAAGACAGATGACAATTGATACCTTGTGAGCTCTTCGGAAGAAATCCCAAAATACAGATTCGCTATCGGCAGCCACTTGCACCCAAAAGGTAGCCGACTGTGATGGAGCGATTCAAGACACGCCCGAACGCAGCCAGAGAGAGCAAGGGCTTCGTTCGGGCCAACGGTGATAATGTCTCGAGCAGAAAATTCAACACTGCTCGAGAGAGTATGGCAGTGACAGTCGATGAGATCATGTCCCGGGAGGATTTCCTGCAACGACCTGCTCGCTCCAACGAAAGCACGAGTGCGAAAGGCAACCCCGTGGAGTCGAATTTACCTAATGAAAATGTCGATGATGTGCCTCTGCGTGCCCGTGAATCTTGCGTGGAAAACAAGCACGCCCTGCATGACAGCTTTGATTGCCGGCACCTTGATTCTCTCCATGAAACCAGATCAGGGTCGTTTCAAGAACAATGTGAAAAAACTTCAAATTCTTTTGACAGTGCGGCGTTGAGTGTTGATGATGACACAATAGAAAGTCTATGCAAAGTCCGATCGTTCATCAACGCTATTCCTGAGGGTCATCGGCGAGGAGAGGCTATCAAAGCGCTTGAAACTATAATCCAAATTCTAGAGGAAAGTGGAGGGTTTCATGATACTGTAAGTGGCATAAGACCTCGAGATAAGTTGACGATTTTTTTAATTTCTGCAACAGATGAATTTAAATGCGCTACAGCAAGATTCCCATCTCAGGTGATCTAACCCCAAATAATTCAGTCTTGTTTCTGGTGACGAGTGGTACAGTGTACTCGATGAAACACGGAGTTCGTCGCACGTGTTGAGGTGTGTATTCTCTGCATCATAATTCAGCTCAGCAAAGTCACTCAAGCAAAATGCAGGTCCCTCCCTATGAGTGCAACGGCCAAGTTCTTCTTGGATCGGTATCTAAATCAGATCGAGCCATGACTGTGAATTTTGCAATACTATGCATTCTTTTCGCGAAGGAGAAATCAATAATGCTCATACGCATGATTGTGCGACAGATAATACTGCATGTGCCATGTATTTTTTTTGGGAGCTGTCACCTTTATTCTGAGCAAGAGATATGCACGTGCAAACAAAAAAATATATCTAGAGTTAACGTCGATATGAATGTTCATAACCATGTCATAGATAATGATCGGTGCTAAGGGTCCATCCTTCAAATTCCATGATTTCATCACCAACATCCATGCTGAATGCCATATCCGACAGGGAAATATCATTATTTGAATTGGACTTATCATTATTTGAATTGGACGCTGGTTCCATAATGAAGTCCTTTCTGTAATCAGGATCATCCTTCTCTGCGATCATAGGCTTTTCTGAGCACATGAAATGATTATTCTTTCTAGATAAGCCTGCAAAATGGGATCTCCAATGTTTTTGCTTGGTTCGCGAGAAGATAGGATCTATTCTGCCCGACTCGACGACGTCAGAATGAAAGCGCCAGCAAAGTACATCGCTGTCAAGCGACACATCATTGATGAATCCACCATACGTTTCGACAGGCATGATAAATTTAAATCCTGCAGCAAAACTGTTGACCAGACCCTTTCAAACGTCAATGGGATCCTCGTACTAATCCTTCTGGAATCCACAAACGTGCAAGGCCTGCCTATGGATGTACAGAATAACAAAGCAAGTTCTCAATTACAATGCGAGTACGAAATGGGAACAGGAAGCCAGTTATTTTGCAGGGTTCACTCGCTGAGATGGAAGCAACGATGGGTTAGAGCCGCTTTGTGAGGGGAGGTAGGTGGGCGGGAAAGAGCATGCGAGTTTGCGGTCACGAGGATCTTTTTTTTCTCCCGTTATTCGTGCTAACGGCCAGGTCAGAACATTCGCTTGGTTCAAATTCAATCCGATTTGTGCACCACCCAATCGTCACCACCCTACCTTGATTTTTTTCACCCCTTCAAATGAAACGTACCCGGTTCTTTTGTAGTGAATTACCACCCAAACCATTATGAGACAAGAGCATGCTTTATTGCCCACCCTGCCTGTTTACTGTTCATGACTACCCTACCACTAAACTACTGACAAGTGGGGGACTAGTAGTAAAGTGCACTCTCCTTGCAGGGGTTTCAACGGAGGTCATGTGCAGTGGTGGGGGGTTATCCTTTGACCCACATGAAGGGGTATTTTAGAAGAGAAATTGAGGGGTAAGAAAATAATGTCCTGGGTGCTATAGAATGGGACGGAAGACGTTCTGCACAAAACGTGGCGGCCTCCCAACAACGCATCTATTCGATAACGTACCCACCCCAATGGACCACCCCACCCAACTGGACAGGTTCAGCGAGGAACAACACATCCATACCGTTCACACTACGGGAGAAAAGCATATCAAGTCTACCGATGAAACAGTCAGCTTGGGTTATCTCCTTGATACATCTGCTTCCCAAAATAGTTACCATTTACTATGAACCCTACCATCGCTCCATCGAGGCTTTTCGAGTCGCAATGTTCTGTCCTTGAGGAAAAGCTGTAAAAAGATGCTATCAAGACTTTGCTGCCGCTAGGAATCAAGTGAGCCAGCCTCAGGTGTTCTCGGAACGGTTCGCGCCGGCCCGGCGCCGCCCGGGGGGCCGCCCGGTGGCCCCAGGCCGGGGCGGCGGCACCCGGTGACCGGCGCCGTGAGCGGCGGCGCGGCCCGGCGGCCGCGGCCGCCAGCGGGGGCCGGCGCCGCCGGTGACCCGGTGAGGAGGCCGGGCTACTTCAACGTACTACCGTATGGCCACCGGGTTACGTTCGAGCCTAGTCAGTACGCCGTATCACTGCGGCAACGGTGAGCCCGCCGGCGGGCCGCCCGGCGGCGGCCAGTGAGTCCGCCGGGCCTTGCAGTGCCGCACGGTGCCATGACGCCGGGCCCGGTTGGCTGCCCGAACTTCCGCGGCCGGGGCAGGGAACTTCGGAACTTCAAGCTTCAAAGCTCGATCGGATGCCAGGCCGCCCGTTCACTGTAATGCCGCAGGGGGTCCGGGCGCGGCAGGCCCGGCGGCGGGCCCGGTCACGAGTCACCGTGGGCGGTCGCATAGGCCCGGGGATGGCGGCCCCGGCCCGGCCGCACTGGCTGGCCGACGTCCGTTGTTGGCACCGGCGGATATAAGGGTGAATGGGAGGTCGTAATTCAACTCCTCGGTGCGCAATGTGGTAGCCTTTCGCATCAAACAATGGGTGGTGTTTCAAGGGGGTACTGACTTGAATCGATGGGGGTTTGGGGGGCGAACCGGTGGATGGTCGAGGCGTACGTAGAAGGCGTGAGGAGGCTTTTTACGACCCCCTCTACCCTTACCTTTGGTTTGACCACTTGATTACTTTACCCCTCCATTCTCCTCGATCAAGAGGGAAATACACCGGTGGTTATGGATAGGTTGACCGGGGGACTCGCACGAGGGGAGAGTTTTATGATCCATCGAGAGTTGATTTGACTGGTGGTCTGCACCCCAGGGGGCTACCCCAGCCCCCATGGGTAGTGTGTATACCAGAAGGTGGGTAGACGTTTGGTGAACTTCCTGTGGTGGGGTGGTCTGGATTACACCTGAAGTCTATGGGTTGTATCTCCGCACGAGCCCATATGTAGTAAACCCGATTAAATGGGGTGGGTCCTGAGGGCTTCAGAGCTGAAAAGGGGTGGGTCTAAAAGCTATACAGGTGGGGTAGTTATCTGTGAATCGATCCAGAAACGTTCTCACAGTTCTCTCACTCGTCTCCAAGTACCCCTGGTCGCATCGCTTGTTTTCCTGGTGGGGTACCAACGCCGAGAGGAACTGGATGAGGGTCTTAGCACTACACCCCGAAGCGGTGTGGCAGTATGCATGCCGAAGGCTAGACCAATTTCAGGTAGTCATATCAGTGGTAGTGGACTTTTATTCAATAGATCAATTAGAGAATCGATTATCTATACCCATACACAAATTGTAAACTGTTTTCCTTCCAAAGTGCCAAACAAGGTGCTGCAAGCCCCAATCTGAGGACCCATGCATGTGCCGGAGCTGCTACGGTACCACCGGTGGTACCACGATGGACTTTCCCGGATCGATGTAATCTTACGCCCCAGATACTCACGGCCTCATCCAGGAAATAGTGAAATCAGTCTTTTTCGAGGAAATGCGGGGGAGATCTGTGATCTGAGATACAGAGCAACTGGGGACGATGTGGGGGCATACCAGTACAGAGGGGGTGGGGTGGACGGAGCTGGAGGGGTGGGGTGATCATAAGCTAAGGTAACTTCTTGCTTGCTGCTCGGAGTCTCGAATTGTGCGCCACAGCAGCCCTTCTGCAACATCCTCCTCTTGCTTCAGCGCCTCCCGCCTCTTCATCTCTGCTCCCTCCTCCCGCCTCTGTCTCCCCTCCCTCGTCGACACTAGTGATTCTTTTGTTGCGGGTCCTGTTTTTTCTTCCACAATCGTGCTTCCAAATCTTCCAATCGGATCCACTACTGTAGCATTTTTGTGGTGTCCAACGGAGTTCTCTTCGCCTCGTGGATACAGGCGATAGCAGGCGATAGACTGTATCAGCTTCAGTCAAACAGCAAGGATGAGCATTGCCAACAGGTTGTCGAGGAACGAAAGCTCGCGCAGCTCATTATCTGAATTCGCTTTCGAGATGGAAATGGAGGAAGGGGGATGGCTACCGAGCAACACAGAGCTTGAGGTGTTTGCCTCGGACCTGAAACAACAGGCGAAGAGGCTGTCTGCACGAGACTCTCCAGAGAGTACGGATGCCTTGATCTTCAACTGGATGCGAGGATGCGACTACATGAGAGTCGACCGGGGAAGCTTTCAGGCCGGCAGCAGTGAAGAAAGCGAGAATTTCCAAGCCGGCTGCACTCCAGCGTATTGATTATTGATTGCTTATCGCATTGTTATTCATTCCTTACACACGCATTATTTTTGTAAATAATAAATCAAGTGATTCATTCACACAGGCTAACTGGAAACAGCAGATGGGCACACATTGTGCTATCGACTGCATTTGTACCGTCACAGGCGGTCAACTCGAACAAAACATAGACGTTTATTTGGGAGTGGAAGATAGCCGAGAGGAAACCATCATCAGAAGGCGCTCAGAATATCGTTCCAGCACGCTCTCAAGATCTACGTTGACCGATGAACGATCGTCCGTAGCAACTGCGAACTCAGGTGTAAGCGAGGGATGAAAAGAAGTCGCTGGAGAGGAAGAGAGCAGCAAGTGGAAGGGAGGAAACACGAGAGAGCTAGAGTCGAGGACTACCCGAGATAGCTGAGTAGTTGGTGCCGAACTGACTGCGTTGGCTGACACTCCCTCCCAAGTCGACGCTTGAACGCGCAGAAGGCAGTCCGCTAGATGGAACGCTGAAAGCATGGGATGGGTAGAGAGGAAGAGCAGGGACGTTGCGGGCTGCACGGGAGGCGTCCGTGTTGAAGACGGGGAGGGGAGTCACCTGAGAAAGATTCAAGGAGGAAGCATTACGCTGCCTTGGCTCACCAGAGATTCGAATTGTGGCACCTGCTCATTCGCGTCTTTTGTCGTGGGACTGACCTGGTTCTCTACCTTGGCTGGTGTCTCCTCGCACAACCTGCTGCTGTGCTGAAGCACCTCGCTATCGTACGCGTCGAGGACTTGATTGATGACATGCTGAGAGTGCCGGAGAGCCGCAATAACATCGGCCATGGCCTGCCGGCTGACTCCACACGTCAGGAAAGGTATGAAGTTGTGAGCAGCGCAGGGAACCTTCCGCTTGCCCGAGCTATGTTATACTGGTCCAGTGTGGCGTTCACGCTAGCTCGGAGTCGATTTCCTGCATCCACGGCGGAGCACGTCTGGTCTCGGACGGACGTTGTCTCATCCATCTCCTGTTGATTCATTGACTTGTCATGGGAGGAAAGACATCAAGCTATGTCATACCGAGTTCAAGGTGAAGTCCGAGGCGTCGCTGGCAGTGAGAAAGTCAGCAGCAGCATCGAGTACAGGCAGATATTGGCTCTACATGTCAAGCTTCCTCAGCGGGTGATTCGGGTCACCTAGCCTGGCAGGCATCAGAGGTACTTCTGGGCTGTAGGTATAGGTCTTGGTCGGCAATTCTGCCTGGCTCTGAAACTCAAGGCTAGTGAACCCTTGCCCAGATGCTGCTTCCGTGCTCTTCATCTCGCTCTCATCCTTACCCTCCTCGAAAGTGACCTGGCTCTCTAAGGGCCCTTCCAGGTTTGGTTGATTCTTCTCAAGCGCAGCGCCGCCTGTCTGTTCTGCTGAGTTGGAAGAGCTGCTTTCGCACGCATCCAGCTCCTCGGGGATCTCCTCGTCCCCACTCGGTTCTATCACCGTGCTCAACGCCTCATGCTCGCACGACTCACGCACCAACCATCCCTTGCCCTCGCTGTTCACCTCCTCTTCCTTCCCTTCCAAGATCTCAATGTCCACAGAGTCATCCTCCAGTTCTCCTGCTCCGCTGGGCCGTTCGAAAACCTCCGGACCACTTTCCGTCTGGACGTGTTGAGTGCTCACTAGCAAAACCTCCTCTCCGGCGGTTTCGTCTCCTGTAGCCTGCTGACACAATTCGTCGCCGCCTGCATGTTGGAAGGAAGACTGTCCTGCAGGCCCTTCGGAGAGCGTAATAGGAGATACAACCTCAACGCCGAGCTCCGATGCCCAGCTCAGCACACCCACTTGCAACATCTGCCCAGCGTCTGTAGCTTCTTTACCATCTGGTCGATGACTCGAGTCCTTCTCTGCGGGGGCACGCGCTTGTATCCCTCCAGTTGGCTGCAATCTCTCCCCGTCCCTTGCTTCTGCCCCAGGCGCTGTGGCTACGCTTGTGCTGGAATCCTTCAAGCGTTTGAGCTGCTCAAGGGCAGAGACAGCGGCGAGCTCTGCAGTTCGTCTTGCTCCGATTTCCTGAGCGAGACTTCAAGGGTAGCAGACGGTGAAAACAGTTTCACCTGCTCGACGGCTAGACGAAGATTTTCTTCTTTCGCTCTCAGCTCTTCGAGTTTTGCTTGGGCTTCTTTCGCGCTCTGCTCTGCAAGTTTCCGCGCTTGAGCTTCCTTGGCAATGAGAACCTGCATCTAAAAGGCCATCAGGTAAGAAGAAGCAAAAAGGTGCCCGTAACCTGATCAGACTCTTTCGTCAACATGACTTGTTGATTCTTTATCATCATCATCTCCTGCTCTCGCTGCAATCTTTCTTGGTTGGCGGCTTCATACGCTTCCCTCAGCGCCTGGTCTGCCTCCATCGCCTTTCTGGAGGACAAATTTATGAGTTTCTTCCCCGCAAAAACAGCTCCAGCCTACCTCTTAGCTTCTTCCACTTCCAACTTCTTCGCGGCTGCTCGCGCTGCGGCAATTTGCAGCTCCTCCTTGCTGAGGGTGCGACCAGCGGTGCTACCCATGGAGCTGCTTGTAGACTCGAGCATTTCAGGCCCCTCCCTTTGCGTCCCTGTCGGAGTTTGACCCGGACGCCGGGACGAGCTCTCCTGGAGGATTTGCTCTTTCACGCTTCCTGCAGACGACGTGGTTGTCTCTAATGATTCCTTCGTCGCATTCAACTGGACATCAGAGATGTTGGCGCCCAACGACTGCTTCTTCCTGCTCTCGAGCTCTTTCAGTCGCAATCGAATCTTTTCTGCTTCCTCCTTCGCCCCCCTGAACTTTTCTTTCCTTGCCTGCTCGTCTGCTTGCCGGAGCAATTCAACATTCTCTTCGGCCTTCTTCTTCGCTTCCTCTCGAAGTCGCTGCCGCTCTTGCGCCAGACTTGTCTCCTGCTCACACCCATTAGGCGACCCTCTCCCTCCAACCTCCCAGTATTTTTCTTACCTCTGCTCCAACTGCAGTGTACACATCCTTGGCACTGCTCGAAATTCCTGTATCTGCTCTCTCTGCAGCCTTAACAGTCCCCGCATACCTCATCTTAGCAAACAAGGAAAGCTTTCCAGGCGAACCTTCTGCTGTCGGTTCTTTATTTGTCTCAAGCTGCTGCTCAGCCATGGTGCCTGTCGCACTCTGAGAAGGCGGCATTGCCTCTCCCGCCTTCGGTTCTGGGCGCACAGCACTTCGTCCTTCGGTCGGAGGAGGCATAGCATTCGTATCCAACGCCCCTTTTGTTCCATGTTGCTCCTGCTTCCGATTTCCCTGAGCCATTCTCGAAGTACTTGCGATCTTTGAGTTCGGTGTGGGTTTCGCAGGGCTCGACATTAAGCTTGGGACGGCACTAGAGATCTGACTAACAGCTGGAGTAGGGTTCGGCACCTCCTGATCCGTGTTCCACGATCCTCCACACATGCCCATGGCTCTAAGTCTCTCACGCATGTTCTCGATCTCTCTGGCCAGCGCTTGGTTCTTCTCCTGTCAATCAAGGTTAGGGCTCTCCCATCTGTTTTGCTCTTACCCTTGCAATGTTGGATCGATCTCGACTCTCTGGAGTTGCAAGAGGAATTGAGCTATCATGAGTGGATTCCCTCGGAGTTTGGAAGGCAAAGTCGTCCTCTTGCTCCTCGCCAGTCTCCTGTGCCTTCTCTCGATTGTCCACTTTGCCAAGTGCTTCTCTGATCTGTTTGTGAAGAAGGTGACTGGTGGACCTGCTCACACGCAAGGAGCTTCTTGGGTCGATTACAACAGTCTCTTCCGACAGAGCTTCTTTCAGGAAGGTTTGATTATCCACGACTGAGTCTTCTGTTACTGTCTTGTTGTCGGCCTCCGAGTCATCATCGCTGTCTCGCTCCTCCTTGATGGACGTCTTGACTTCGTCCTTGTGCTTCATGTCATATCCTTGGCTCAGACGGACCCCGGCTGAAGTCAAAACAGTGAATTCATTCTTGTCGTCGTCATTGTCGATGGTCCCAACAACATCTTCATCATCCTCCTCGTCGCTTTCTTGCGTAGCCTTACTGTCACTCTCGGTCCCTCCTTCCGTCGGATCGTCAAGGTTTTCAACCTGCAAGTCATCATCATCTGTCGAGGTGTGGATAGAAACATTTTCATTCAGCTGTTCGGAGGGACTCTCGTTCCACCCCCTCATCAATATTCTGCGAGCCGTGTCGACCGACGTAATCTTTGCATTCTGTGCATTTTCGGGTGAAGTAAAGATCTGCCCGTTCGAAGTAGTTGCATCCATCGTCGTTGTGTTGCTTCTACGATTCTCCGGGCGGTCCTGCTCTGCCAGCAACGAGCTCAACATCGCTTTCTGTCTTTGTAGAAGGTCGGCGGACTCTCCTTTCTTGATAGAAGCATCATTTTTGCTTTCTTCTTGGATCTTCATGAGATCAGAAATGCCAGGCTTCTTTGCGGTTGATTGGTTGGCTTGCTGCCCGCTTGAGGACTTTCCCGACTTTTCTTGGAGCAAAGAAGGATCCTTCGACTCCAAGTCTTGTGAAGAGATCGAGTTGATAAGGAAATCCGGCAGTTTCCACACAAAGATACAGCCGTCACAGGAACACGAAACAAGATGTTGTGAAGAAGGGGAGAAGGCAACAACCGTCACTGGCTCAGAGTGTCCAAACGCTTTGCAGAGCATCTTTCCCGATTGCAAGTCGTAGAGTCTGATGCCCTTATCAGAGCTCGTCGTTGCCGTGTAACGTCCACTGGGGTCAAACCTGACCCTGAGAGTGCACTCTACTTCCATCTCGTACCTTCGCTTCCTCGACCCACTAAAGGTGTCCCATAGGGTCAAACTGTTGTCCTGACCTGCTGTGACGGCCAGCTTCCCCGTACGATCCACGCAAACGTCATAGATTGTATTGTCCACGAGATGCTCAACATGCTTCACATCGATTTTGGTCCTGCCTTTCGCTCCGGTACTGGTCTGTGTTATAGACTTGAATGCCAGTTTCTTGTCACCACCGCAGCTGACAAGTCTGCTTCCTTTACCCGCAAATCGAACACAAGTGACCGCTGAGGTGTGATCTTCAAACGTATCAATCAGGTCGTAATCAGAGTCCGCATCAAACAAATGGATGAGCTTGTCCCGACCTCCAGAAGCCAGTAGTGCCCCATTGATTCCACCAAAGTCGAGAGACAGAACTTCAGCGTCATGCGCCTCCAAGAACACCTTCATCTCCATGTCTGGCGAGATCTTGTGCACTCTGAGATTCCCCGCCTTGTCTCCAGAAGCGACGTATCTGCCGTCGGTGGATATCCGAACGCATCTCAATCCTCCTCCCGTTCGAGACTTTCCGTTTGTGCTGCTTGTATTTGCATTATCATCACATTCCGCCACCGCCAGCAGATCTCGCAATGAGTGGCCTTTGGAACCGTGTTCCTTTGTGGCATGCGCTTGCGGCAGACACCAAAGTCTAAGGGTTGAATCCGAAGAACACGTAACGAACGTGTCTGGCGCGAACCCCAACCTTTCTGCGGAATCTTTGTTGAGAAATTCAAGGTCCCAGATACTGCCGGCATGCGAGTACATGGCACGGCAACGGCATACCTTCTTCGCATCTCTGAGGTCCCAAATAAACAACGATCGGTCTGAATAAGCACACCCAAGTCTCTGCCCATCTCTCGTCAATCGGACCGACAGGGTGTCTGGCCATACAGCTTCCACGGGATTTGAACGAGCTGATTCTGCCGTGTCCTTTGGTCGGAAGGGCGGAGGACGTGGTAAGGTAGCAATGTATTCGAGTGTTTCGGGATGAAACAGCCTCACGAGACCATCACAACAAGCGCAGGCAACATGTGAATCATTCACGGCCAACGAAGACACCTTGCGCGACTTCAAGTCCACCCATTTGTCTACTGCCCTGTCTGCATCAAAACTGAGCAGGAAGCCGTCCGAGGTCACGGCGTACACGATCAGCTCATTATTCCTTGTCAGGTTAGACGCAATCTCAACAAAGTCCCCGGCAGTCGGCGGCCCTCCCTCCATGATGGCCTTCCTCCCTTTCATCCCCTGCGCCTTTGAGTTGGACGTGGTCGTGGGCCTGATATCCCAGTACTTGAGGTGACCCTCGGCGCCCGCTGAGACCAGCACGTTGTCGCTCGAGCTAAAGTCGAGGCTGTGGATCTCAATCTTGAACCTTGCGTTCGCTATGAGAGTTCCAGACCTCCATTCCCACACCTTCAGCCGCCCGTCTCCTCTCGATCCAGCTGATGCCAGCAGCCTCCCATCCCTCGAGAGCTGGATCGCCTTGACCGTGAACGAGTGCCCTTGCAGCTCTGCCAGGTGTGTCCCCGACGACGTGTCCCATACATGCACGGATGGCTGGCGCCCGCTCTCCCCAGCAGCAACGTAGCATCCGTCTGCAGAGAAGGCCGAGCACTGGAGCGCCTTGTTGTTGCTGGAGGAGAAGTAATGCGTCTGCCTGTTCTTCCTTGGGTTGTAGAACACCAGAACACACCCTGCAGGGTATGCGAACTCGCCCGTGACAGCATTCACTGAGAGCGCACAGGAACTCTTGATGGTGTTTCCAATGACTTTCTCCAGCTGCATCATGGCAGAAGCTCCGAGGCACTATGGTTCCATGCTGAAATCAGAAACGAGCATTCTTCCTGTCGGCAGCACGTCAGCAATCGCAACTCCACTCCAGCTAGAAGGAGGCTGCTTCCACATGCTAGAACTGAGCGCTAGCCCCTTCCCTCCCTTCCTCCCTCCCTCTCTTTCCCTGTACCTCCTATTTCACGGTCTCCATGTCTCATACCACCCTAACAACCAGCTGCTACCTCCCCATCTCCCCCCCCTGCCCAACATCCTCCAACTTTCGAGCTTGACGATGCTTCTGTCCTTGCTCGGCAATGACTCTGCCTGCCATCCTCTCCCGCTGCACAGCCTCCTGTCCTCTCGCTCCTCCTCCTCCTCTGCCGTCCTGCTCTACACCCCACCCACTGCATCGATCACCTCAACTTCTCCATTCCATGGCGCCAAAACGTATACCGCAGATGATGGGTGAATCATACAGATCATCGCCCTCATGTCCACACAACGGACAAGCACTGCCTGAAGCACTGCAGCAAGCACTGCAGCAAGCACTGCAGCCAGCACTGCAGCCTGCACTGCAGCAAGCCTGCCTGCTGCAAGCTACTACTGCTGCAAGCACTGCACTGCACAGAGCTCTGCAAGCACTGCTCTGTAGGCAGAGAAGCAGGCTAAGAGGGCGGGATAGGAACGAGGCGATGCAGGTGGAGAGTGAGATGGCTGGATGTGACTCGAGGGGATGAGGACGGAGGTCGTTGAAGAGAGTGGGTAAGCGCACCTCAAACACCGGGAAGAGCTTCACCTGGATTGTCGGAGCTGGCAGTGTACATCCAACTTGTGATTCATCGGGCGCAATGTCCTTCCTCACGCAACTGCACGTCGCTGCAAGGGATGGCAACCAAGAGAAGGTCGAGGAGATACTGGAAGGGAAGAACGGCCAGGTGAGGAGTGCATGGCGATGAGCGCGTCTGACGACTCCCCGGAAGGTGAAGGTCTCGATTGACGCGATCGATGCGAGTGGTCAGACGGCGCTACATCTGGCGGCGAAGTGGGGGAGGCTACCCGTGGTCAAGGTGCTCATCGATTCAGGTGCGGTAGGCAGGAGGCGCTAGCATGTTGGCGTGTGGGGATCAGAGCAGGAGCCTCTTGTTGCTGTCTTGCTCCCCAGGCTGCAGATGGTGACTCGTCCCCTGCAGGCGCGAACCTGGAGATCAAAGACCGTAAGGGCCGGACTGCGATGGATCTGGCTAACGACTCCGGCGTGCAATCGTAGCCTGCCCTTCTGAACGTCCGCCTGTGGTGTGACAATCCTTCCAGCCAGCTGTCAAGGAGATCAACCGAGATCATGAAGAAAGTTGAGTCGTTCCAAAAGGAGAAGCGGAAAAGGGCCCTACTGCTGCAAAAGAAGGTTTCTATCCCTGTGCTACAGATTGCAGAATCTTAACCCTCCCTTGCAGTACTGGAGTGGAGAGCTGTTGGGGACTGAACTCGAGGATGCGATGTGAACAGCGTGTAAACGTGCTTGCAGCAGTTTCTTACTCTCACGCACAGGGAACGTTTGGATGACGAAGGGGTATGGGATATGATGAGGCTCGAAAAGGAGCTGGAGGGCGTGGAGATCGTTGAAAGGGTTGAAGAGGAGCGATGGGAGGAGCTGAACAACTATATGAAGGTAGCTCCTGCCTCCTCGTCTCTTCTCTCTAGGTTTGATTGTCTGCGGTAGGAAAGACCGCTGGAGTTGAAAGAAGCCGCCTTCCAAGCTGGCGTGCAGTCCCTGAGGCGAGTACCTTGTTGTGCAGCCGTGAAGTGTGCTGAGATGTTGAGCAGGAAGAAAACAAAAGAGGAGGCAAAGCGGGCTTTGGAAGAGGTCAATCTTGTCTCGTTGGACTCATTCGGGCTCATTCATCCTGTGCAGTCGCGGCAGGAGGAGATCAGAAGGAACGAGGAAAGGAGGGCGGCGGAGCAGCTGGTTTGATATTCCATGTGATGTTTCGTCCTTTCTGCTCACGTTATGAGCAGAAAGAAGAAAAGAGGGCTCATAAGGAGCTCAACCGGTCGGTATCTTTTCACTCCTCTGCACAGACGAGCTCTGCTCATACAATATTTTGCCCATCTGAGGTCAACGGTTTTCTCCTTTCCTGATTTTGCAGCAGGGAGCGCACATGTGGAAGATGTGGTCAAGTGTACACCAACGCTACCAACCGGCCGGGATTTTGCATGCACACTGGGAAGTGGGCGAACTGGGGAACGGATCGAAATGTCAGAGCAGCATAGAGAATCATCGGCTACTACGACTGACATCAGGTGCATGACAGGGCAAGAAAGTGGAATGGCTCTTCTACTGGACATGCTGCAAGTCGCAGGCTTACGAAGGTCCTGCTGGTGGATTTTCATTGTGTCCTAGAAGGTAGGGTCTCTCATTCTCTGAGTGCTCTCTTGACCCCGGGCCCGCATTTTAGTGAAGCGCATGAAGAAAGTGCGGCCGACGTTGTACGCCGACAGACCAAGCAGCTTAAGCGAGCAGCGCGATCCAAAGAATAAAAGCTGTATCCGCACTGCGGCCAGAGCCTCGCCGGCGGCGCCAGATCGCGGCCCCGGGCGGCGCCGCCGCGACGGCCCTAGGCCGGCCCCGCTGCCGGGAGAAGACGAGAACGTACGGTACTAAATCAGCACAATGGGATGGAGGGCTCGAAGGTAACATGCCAGGGTTTCGGGGATTACGTGACATTGCTGGTTGCAAGTCGAAAAAGAGGTATACGAAAAGTAGAAAATATTAAAAAGCTCACTGCAATAGTGATCCGGCGAACCATTCGGATGTCATGAGATAGAACTCACATTTGCCCTGATAGACTGTGCCACGACGGTGAGGTTTTGACACTGGCTTGTCATCATCGCGCTTTTTGCTTTGATCATCCTTATCATTATCAAACCTAAGTGGTGGCGGCCTGGCTGCCTTGGCGATTTCCTGCAAACTTTGAAACTCTGAGCTAACGGTCAATCGCACCGTTTCATTCTCAAATTAAAGTTGAATTCTCAAAATATTTGGAGAACTCAACTCAATTCGTTTGACTCATTCGATTTGGAGAGGCAAAAAAATGAGTCATTCTCCAAATCGAGAAAAAATGTTAGAATGTAGGGAGGGTACGATATGAGCAGTCAGGGGACCCCACCCCCGTGTCAGTATGTATCAGAGAGGGAAAAAAATGAGATATTTTAATTGACAGGCACTGAAAGGACCGGTGAATATTTCAGGGTAAATTTCAAATCTCTCTGAATAAAGTCAAAGACTTGGAATCTGGGAGCCGGCGGGAAACCCGTGGCTGCCGGTGTGCAAACAATAATAATATGTGGCAGGTTTCCATAGTGGGGGACAGGAGGGTACCAGAGGGGGTAAGTAGGGGTACCAGAGGGGGTAAGTAGGGGTCCCCCGGAAGTTAACACTGCCGCAGAGGCACCGGGAGGGGCCAAGGAACGACCGTGCCAAGCAAGACCATGCGAGCTTTCCTCCTCCTGACAGCGATCGCGACAGCATCAGCCGTCACATGCAACATTGCCAAGAAGAGCGATGCCGCCATAGGTTTGAGCCTTTCTTTCTCACTTTGACTCGTATGCCTTGCTCTATCCGGCTCTTGTCTGATCTGCTTAGCGATCGTTTGTCATTCGTGGCTGCAGGAAGCTGCGGAACGAAAACCGTCCAGTACGGCAGCTGTCTCTCGAAAAGTGATGCAGACACAAACCTTGCCGCTGCCATTGCAGGCGCAGCTCTCATGGCTTCAACCGATGCTACTTGTGCCACCTTCTTCTCTAGCATTTGTGCAAGCTACGGCTTGGTGAGTGATGCAATGCATCTTTGTATGAATCGATGGATGGCGTCAATGACGATGATGTTTGTATAGACCGCAAAGGCCACCAAGTGCTCGGACCTATGCTCTGGGTATGCATTTTTGTCAGGCTGTACTTCAGACTCCCAGTGCGCAACGACGACTACTACAGTGGTGGACTGCTGCAGCAAGAGGAGGTCAGACATCTCAAACTTCTGCACCGTCGACTCAGCCAAGCTTGACTCCATCATCGCTTCTGAAAAATCCAAAGCAGCATGTAGTGATACCAACTGCACCTCAGCGGCGCCGAGGACCCTTTCGTCGCTGTACATTCCTCTGCTGCTGTCGTTGCTGGGGTATGCGATGACCTCTCGGCTGTGAGTGTTCAGCCACGAGGTGATGGTCGTCGTGACGGCTGTGGAGCCTCAGCGGGGCCCGAGGCAGGGATGCTGAAGGCCTTCAAGTAAGATGAGTAGGGGCACGTTAGGAATAAACCGTCACTCAACGCGTCTGATCTACCGACCTTGATGCACAATGGAGGCTATCGGGGAGAAGTGTCAGCCGCTGATCGGACGTCACAAGAAGTGAAGCCTTCATTTACAGAACTTGTGACTAGCCCAACCAGATGGGTGCAGTAGGAGAGGTGTTGTCAGTATACACAACGTAGAGATCAACGGAGCTAAAAAAAACAAATAGAAAGTAGAGTCAGGACGAAAGCAGATATAGAAGCAGAAGATAGAAGTCTGTTGGTTTACTTAAGGTTGGGGAAGGCAAGAGGAGGAGCCGCGCTGATGAAGCGTCCTGTTGAAGGGAAGTATCCGTACAAGTATCCGTGACTCCGCATCGTCATGGAGGCTTTGTGCAGATGCTCATGAGATCAACGCTCACCATGTCTACACGTGTGGAGGGGGCGAGGAGAGCATAAGATAGAGAATGATCTTCTTCGGTTTACTGGAGGGGAAGGGACAAACAGGAGCAAGCTGCGTAGGATAGGATAAATCAACAAATCCTCCTCACGACAAGCAAGGGAACAAGAATCAGGACATAAGTAAACATGATATCTTAGAAACATGTAAACGGTAGCGCCACTTGATGTTGCACAGCGCTACATCAGGGTTGACACTGCTTACCCTACAAATTCAGCAGCGTGTGAAAAAGCACTACAACGTCTCGTCACGTCATAAAAGGTTCAAACGCAATTCCTCACATGCATCTCAAAAATGCGTATGAATGAGCTGGGAGTAGGCGACGTGTTGAGTGACGATTTATTCCCTCAACAACGTGATCCTAATCAGCATGTGTACGATCTTGATCTGTGTTTGCGCAATCTTTCAGGCTGATTCTGGTTGTTTGAGGAATGTTTGATCGCACATCCCTGTCCTTGTGACTCGTTATGCTCTAGATCGAGATCGATCCTGGTACAGGATGTGTATCTTTGACCCCATGTTCTTCCTCGGAAGGCGGTAAGCATTTTCAGTCTACTTGGAGCTTGCACTTTGAGGGGATGATAGGGACTGCGTTGTCCTGCTCCTCCTGCTCCCTCCTGCTCCTCCCTCCCCTCTTCTCCCAGCCCTCCTGCTCCTCCCTCCCCTCTTTTCCCAGCCCTCCTGTTCCTCCCTCCCCTCTTTTCCCAGCCCTCTGCTTCTCGCATCTTCGTCGTCGGCCGCCGGCTTGAAGCCTCTCCGAATATGAGCTGAGTACAAGTGATGCTCCTCATGCCTGCCTGAAATTTCCCACTTCTCGTCCCGGTAGTTCGGGGGTTAGGGGTTTAGGGTTTAGGGTTTAGCCGTGTATTTCAGGCACCATGGCTGCGCGCCAGGTGTAGGGGAAGCCGCCTGGGCGCGGCTTGAAGGGAGCTGCAAGCAACTTGAAGAGGTTTGTATGGTTCAAACAGCTTTTTAACTTAAGTATGGTTCTTCAGTATGATGAAAGTGTTCGCAACATGCTGTATCGGAGATCATTCCAATCATCAATACACGCAGGGCGAGCTTGTGGATGCCTCGGTCCTCCAAGCTGATCTGGTCGAGAGGGTGAAGAGCTAGGCTTGCAAGGCTGTGGTGGAGGCGCAGAAGCAATGATCCGCACCGTCCGCCGGACACAGGATGCCACGTTCAGCAAGCACGACGAGAGCTTCTACGCTGAGGAAGCCGGATGACTGGATGGAGTGATCGGACGCATCCAATGAGAGAATGGTTTATGCAACAGGTCAACCGTCGAGGCAAGAGGCCCGAGACTCTGAAGAAGAAATTCGAAGAGATCGGACTCGGATCGCTCTCGGCCGCTCCGAGGCTGGCAATGCCGCAGTGCGGCACCGGCGGCGTGAAAAGCGGACTCGGAAGCCGACCGCCGTACCCCCAGTTAGCCACGCCGGCCGTCCGACCGTACTGAGACGGTAGCCTGTGCGGCCACCGCGGAGTTCAGTCACCCCGGAAGTACGGTCCGAGCCTCGGACGGTCCCCGGGCGGCCCCTACCAGGACCGATGGTCCCCGGACCGGTGCAGGTCCGGCATGATCAGTGCCAAGCGCAGGTCCGAGTTTGTGCCAAGCCTTGCCAAGTTTCCACTGAGTTGCCACTCGGGCCCCGGTTCAAAGTTATTAGGCCTGAAGTTTAAAACTTTGTTACTAAATCATGTTTATAGAGAATGCCTTACCACAGTAAACCAGACTCATAAGCAAGATATCTATTTTTAGAATCATAGATACTGTTTGCCAATTGTTTTTCTTGAAAAGTATTGGTACCAGGCCTCACCATTCCTTAGCTAAGTTCATTTTTTACTTATTAAAAAAGTATGAAAATTCTTATTATGTTTTATTTTATATTTCGACCAAGACCGGAAAATAGTTTTATTGAAGGTGTGAGGAGAAAACTCGCGAGGTGATTGTAGGGGTAGGGGTCAGGATTTGTGTTCTAGTGGTTCGGGGACTGGGAATGGTAGGGGTACCTTTCTGAGGAAGTTGGGGGTACACCAGGTGCGCAAATCACTCACCGGGTACTTTTCCTGTTCTGAAAGGGGTCCTTCGAGGTAGGGGAAATGTGTCGGGCACTCCCAAAGACACAAATCGAAGGTGGGGTAGCTGTAACGCAGATGGGGTGGGTATTTGAGAGAGTACTTGCGGGAAAATAAGGGTAGTCTTGGTAATAAGGGAGGGTAGGGTACATATCACTCCATCTTACAGATGGCAGGGGTGATGGTTTGCAGGGTTCAGTGATAAGGAGGCGTTTGCGTTCACACCGGTATAATAAGGTCACCTGAAAGGCTATGGGGTAGGCTGTTCAAGCTTAGTGCTCTAATCGAGAAATACCCAGTATATGCATAGGGGAATGAGGGAGTATCAAAGATGTTGGGTTGCCGGGTAGGGTGGGTCCACACTGGAGGGTGTGTGTGGCTCACCAATTCAGGGTGGGGGTGGGGGGAGGACATTCAAGGCGACAAGAGGAGAGGGAACAAGTAGAGGCGGAAAGATGCTGACAAGACATCTTGGGTGTTTGTGAGCATGCGATGGTTCGGACGAAGGGGAAACATAAGAGGAGAGGAAGAGGATCAAGTTAGAAAATTCACATGGAGATGGAGTCATGTGAACGATTCCCCCCTCGTAGACCATGTCACAGGTGTGGATAGAGGGTCAGTATGTTTGCGCGTATTAAAGTAGAGACAAGTTTTGAGCGAGCTTCCTTACCCTCCATCGAAGAACGCTTTTTGTACCCGAATCGTTCAGTGAAAAACATTGCAGCTTCAGAATTTCCATTTGCGGCCGTTGTAGATTTTTTCTGTTTGCACAATGATTTGAGCTGTATTGGATTTTGGCTGAGATTAGAGCGTATCACTTTACCAGAACTTGGGTGTAAACAAACTTACTGATTCAATGATCCTTATAGGTTGGAATTAATTTTCTGAGGCCAGTATGCCGTTGAGAACTTCTGTCTTGCTGTTTGGCTGCGCTTGCCTGTCGCAGTACGCCGATGCCTTTGCCCCCGGAGCTGGATCCCCGCTCGCTCTCAGGAAGAGCGCAGTCCCTGCTGCCACCTTGAGGAATGGACGCGGTGGAATTGTCAGCGTGAACATGAAGAACCAGGACGACGTGAGTTGTTCGGTCTAAGCTTTGCTTCTTCTGACGCATGGTACAGGTTCGTCGTCAGATGGCCGCTGCCATGGCTGCTGTAGTTCTCGGAAGCGGAATCTCCGCCCAGCCAGCCTTTGCTCAGGCAGCAGTTGAGCCGGCTGCGGCTCCTGTGAAGAGGGTGGAAGCTGGTGGAGTTCAGAACTGGCGCTACTCCGAGTTCATGAACGCCGTGGAGGGCGACAAGGTGGAGAAGGTCACCTTCTCCGCGGATGGCCGCCGCGTGCTCGCCGTTGACGTCGACGGCAATCGTTACAAGCTCGATGCCCTTCCCAACGACCCAACTCTCCTCGACACCCTCACCAAGCACAAGGTTGACGTGACTGTCCTTCCCGCCCAACAGCCCGGAGGCGGAGGAGACCTCATTCGCTCCCTCATCTTCCCCGCTCTTCTCTTCGGCGGCCTTTTTCTCCTCTCCCGCCGCGGAGGAGACCAGGGAGGAAACTTCCCTGGTGGCGGTGGATTCGGCGGACCCATGGACCTAGGCAGGTCGGGAGCCAAGGTTCAGATGCAGCCGGATACTGGTGTGACTTTCAATGACGTTGTTGGAGTTGACGGAGCCAAGATTGAGCTCGAGGAGGTTGTTCAGTTCCTCAAGGAGTCCGAGAGGTTCACTGAGATCGGAGCTCGCATCCCCCGTGGTCTCATCCTCGAGGGCCCCCCCGGAACTGGTAAGACCCTCCTTGCCCGCGCTGTTGCTGGAGAGGCCGGTGTTCCTTTCTTCTCCATCTCCGGCTCTGAGTTCGTCGAGATGTTTGTTGGTGTGGGAGCTTCCAGGGTTCGCGACCTCTTCTCCCAGGCCAAGAAGAACGCCCCTTGCATCATCTTCATCGATGAGATCGACGCCGTTGGCCGTCAGCGCGGAGCTGGTATCGCTGGAGGAAACGACGAGAGGGAGCAGACCCTCAATCAGATCCTCACTGAGATGGACGGCTTCGAGGGCAACCCCGGAATTATCGTCATCGCTGCCACCAACAGAGCCGATGTTCTTGACCCTGCTCTCCTTCGTCCTGGCCGCTTCGACAGAAGGATTGTTGTCGACCTCCCTGACTTCGCTGGACGTGTTGCCATCCTTGGTGTCCACTCCCGCGGCAAGCCCCTCGGCGATGACATCGACCTCAACCAGATCGCTCGCCGTACCCCCGGCTTCTCCGGTGCCTCCTTGGCCAACTTGATGAACGAGGCAGCTATCTTCGCTGCCAGGAAGAACAAGGTCTCCATCGGCAACGACGAGATCAGCGATGCTCTTGACCGCGTGACCCTCGGCCCGGAGAAGAAGAACGCCGTCGTCAGCCTCCAGAAGAAGGAGCTCGTCGCCTACCACGAGGCCGGGCACGCTATTGTCGGCGCCCTCACCCCTGACTACGATCAGGTTGCCAAGATCACCATCACTCCCCGTGGAGGAGCGGGAGGATTGACCTTCTTCGCTCCCAACGAGGACAGGGTTGATTCCGGCTTGTACTCCCGCCAGTTCTTGGAGTCTCAGATGGCTGTGGCCTTGGGGGGACGCATTGCGGAGGAGATTGTTTTTGGGGAGGATGAGGTTACCACTGGAGCCTCCAACGACTTGGAGAGAGTTACCAGCACTGCCAAGATGATGGTCACCAGGTTCGGCATGTCCGAGCGTGTCGGCCAGGTGGCGCTCGCGCAGGATGCCGGCTCTCCCTTCCTCGGCAGGCAGATGGGTCAGCAGCAGGCTGTCATGTCTGGCGAGACCAAGGCCTTGATCGACTCTGAGGTCTCCCGCCTCGTGTCCGGTGCCTACAACCGTGCCAAGCAGCTCCTCCTCGACAACAGAGAGGCGCTTGATGAGCTCGCGAGGCTGCTCGTGGAGAAGGAGACCGTGACTGCTGAGGAGTTCCAGCAGCTCCTGCAGAACTGCAACGTGAAGATCGCCGACTACCAAGTCTATGCCTAAATCAGTTGATATACCTATATGACGCTCAATAAATGATTTCCGTGAAACATGCGAGTGAGCTGTTGTTCCAAGTGCAAAAATCTCGTCCTACATGTATGATTTATTACATCACCGCGATAGCCTAATCAACTTTGCCCATCTGCATATATATCTCTTTTCACGTGTTTCATGTTTCAAAACGTTGCGCACCACATTTGTAACTTCAATCATTGACAGTCTCCAATCCCAGAACCTTCTACAGGGATTGCTTCCAGTGGAGAAATCTGGTTTTTTCGCTCATGATGCCCTGATTTGTGAAGCCGACTGGCAGCCCATGATGCTGAACAAACGAGTTCTTGTTTGAAGTCACATACTGTCGTTCATATGGGCGATCACCAAGCCTGTGTCTTACATGAGAACAGGATAAGCTCACACAAACGATATCTCACCCAAACTGACTGATGTTTCTGGGAGCACAGAACCTCACGCCGTGCAGAGGTTCGCGGTCAAACCTGACTGGAAGTTGGTTGACGATGCTGTTCATGTCGTAGGGAACAAGCTTAGGCCTGCTCATTGAAGATCATCGCGCTGAACATGAGCAGCACATCTTAGCGAAGCATCTTGTCACCTGTAAGACATGCCTTTCGGATTCTTAGTCACGGTCGGAAGAGCCACTTCATCTTCATAGAATTGTTTGTAAGTTCTGATACAAAGATCGATCAGATCACGGGCATCAAGCTTCCTTGACAGCTCACGTCTTTGATCCAAGAGTCCGTACATTCGTCTCGCTGTTCACAGACTTGTACCCAGTCTTGCGCTGTGGGTGAGCAACTGCAAAAATTTCTCCATTGGAGCGAATGACCTGGAGAAACCATCAAACATCACATCTGTGAGGCAATGACGTAACCTGAGTGCATGATCCGATCTTGGATTCAGCTGCCATCCCGTGAAGGATGTTCTGGGCAAAGATGAAAGCGAGGGAGAAAAGAGAAAGATTCGACTGAGGTTTAGCCTTTCAAAACTACAACAGGATCAGCAGATTGAATGCACATGAAGGGAAAGACAAGCATGTCTCTGGTGGATTTTCCTTTATGTTGGATTTCATCGGGACCACTCTATTGCCTATCATTGCTCTTGAAATAATTCTAGAACAAAATCCTCACATTTCTTCGATGAGACCTCCTGCCTAATCATCTTTCATCTCTACAACACGGAAGGATATGATAACTTGCCAAGATCTTTGTTGGCCATCGTTAACATTGATTCCAATCAGAAAACATCAAGAAACACTCGCAACACGATTCAGTTGACTGATGTTGAGCCCACAAACAACAGAAAATAGCATATTTTTTTGAGAACGAATCCTTGAAATCCCCCCCTCCCCAAAACAATAGAATACTACTTGAAGAAAACTCAACAACACAATTTCTTGCGGCCTTGTGCATAACATAGCATATTTCATCAAACTCAATGATTCCTAGAAGCACCCTACAAGTCACACGAGCGATGCTTCATCGTCACCACATGCCCTCTTCGATATGCCTGATACCCTGCAATCTTCTCTTCACATCATAATCCCTTATCCCGATCCTTATCATGTTGATCATGGTTCTGGAGATTCTCAGCATCCTTATGCTGATCGCGCTGCCCCTCCTGCTCTATCTTCCCGCCATCGGTTTCCATTGCCCATGACATTCTCAACGTTCAGCGCTGACCCTACCCTCACTCAACGATCGATGTACCCACCCAAATTGAAACACATCCACCCATTTCTAATCTATCTTCAGACCTCGTTTGATTTTCATAGTGAATTATATAAGAAATACCTAGACTATACAGAATCATTTTCAGTTCTTTAGGAGTACCGGTGATGATTCAGTACCACCCCTGACACTACCCCTGGTATCCTGGAGTCGTTACCGTTGAGGCAAATGATGGGGATGGAAGGGAGGAGGAGCGTTTGAGGGGGAGGAGCAGAGGAGGGAGAGGAGAGGGGAAGGGGCGGAAGGGAGGGGGGGAGACAGAAAGGGGAGTAAATAGCAAGAGGAGGGGAGAAAGAAAGAGGAGGACGAGGAGGACGAGGAGGACGAAGAGGTAGGGGAGGTAGAGGAGGTAGAGGAGGTAGAGGAGGGGTGGGGGGAGGAGACAGGAAGGGGAGGAAATAGCAAGAGGAGAAAGAGGAGAGAGAGGAGGTGATGGAGGGGTGGGAGGAAGAGGAGATACAGAATAGGACAGGAAGTAGATGATGCAGTTTCGGATAGGTTATGGACACCCTCACCGATCAAAAACCTGCTTCTAGAGGAGTGAAGAACGAAGATAATCGTACACGCAGGAAATGAGCATAGAACCTTGGTTAATTATGTCCAGATGAAACGAGGGATTGTAGACAGGGGCGTGGTCGAAATGATGAAATAGTGAAAATTTTACATTTACAGCAAACAATTATCAAATAGGCAAATGAAATCCAGCGCACAGTCTTCAGGAGGATGTAGAGGATGTATGAAGGGCCTGCCAAATCTCTTTTCTTCGAGCCGTGTCGTGACAACGAGCACTTTTGGTGAGCTGAGATCCAAAGTTATAGTATACTGTCATTCTAGTTGAATGAATGTTCTCATCTTGATCTTCATCATCATCTGTGCAACAAAACAAAAATCTGCCAACAAAACAAAATTTGTATATCATGCATTTTTTTTTAAAAAAAAAATACACGAATTCATTGTGAAGCAATTTTCTTGCAGCAACAACATGTGGCCAATGATCGATGAATCGGCTGATGCTACTTGCGGCACTCGAGCTCGATCAGAGCAACTCCATCTCAAGCTCGGGAGAAGAGCGTCAAAGAAACTTTCGAGCCTCCACGGCTGAGCCCTGAGAGGAAAATCGGAGCGAAGAAAAAAATCGAGAAAAGGAAGAGCAGGAGGGAGGACGATGAAAAGGAGCAGATCTAAGGCAGAGGATCAATGGGGAGGAGGCGGAGGAGGAGGAGGAGGAGAGGAGAGGAGAGGAGAGGAGGAGGAGGAAGGGAACTACTCTGTTGGGGATTCATGATTCATTTGCGTCACGACAGATGAAAAAATCTGTTCGGATGAGACTGCTCCCAAAGATAGGTTGGGTAGGCTCAAGGGGTAGGGGTGGTTTATCAAAAGGGTAGGGTACGAATATGAAGTTCGATCTCTTTCTCAATCAAAGTACGGGTACAATCTTGCTAAGAAAGTGGGGTCTGTTTTTTCGATAGGGTACTCTCAATCAAGGGGGTGCTTCGTTCAGGTCAAACCTTCAGAGAAGGGGTACTCTAAATGTTGAAATAGGGGGTGGGGTAGTTGAGGCGCTGTGGTAGCGGAGCTACAGCTTGCAAGAAAACTATCGAAATCCAGCAGGGGGGGAGGAGAGTGAAGAGATGCGTTCACATGGGCAAGAGGACTCATGCTGAGGAGGAGGATCAGGAGGAAGATGTTGATGTCAGTAGCGTTCGACCGTAAGACATGAAGAAATCTTCAAGTAGAGATCGATGGCGAGAGGGAAGAAGTGAAGGAGGGTTGCAAGAACGATCTGGAGTGGGACAGTTGTTGGAAAGGTCTTAGCGTGGCAGTGGTGTACGGATAGAGGATTGTAAGAAAGTAAATCCATGAGTGTCCCAGTGCTCTTCGAAGCTTGGCTGATGTTGGTACACTAGGTGGAAGATGCTGATACCTCCAAGGAAAAAGTCGTTTGGTGTGGATTACCAGGGGAGGATGGGGAAATTCTTTTCTACGCACTACAGCGCACAGGAAGCTAATGAGATGAAGGAGGCGATCAAGAACCTCTCGGAACTTCGCGCGCAGGTATGCGACTCTCGTGCCATGTGCTTGGTCTGATGATCTCCTTCCATGTCCGACAGACGCTTCATGTCTCTGAAGCGACGACAGCCAACTGCGACGTGAGCATTCGCTACTGGGCGCAGCTGTGCCTGCTGGACAAGCGCATCGACTTCAGTCAGATTGGTCTTGTCTTCACGTGGATCGATGCGTTCAAAGGGCCCACCACCCTCTCGCCAAACCAGGGAAGAATGAACAGCACGGCTCTTGCCCTAGAGATCTCCTCTGTCCTCTTCAACATTGGCGCCATGCTGGCCTTCCAAGGCAACACAGTGCACAGCTCGGGCGGTCAAGAGAACTTGAAGCAGGCCTCGATATTGTTCAAGAAGGCTGCTGGGTACTTCGCAGGGGTGAAGGCTTACTCGAGCAGAATTGATGGGGCTGTCAGCACAGACCTGGTGACTTGGAGACGATGCGAGTTTGTCTCCGGTGACGCAGTCTGTGCAGACCTCGGACTGCTGCACCATGTTGGAGAACCTCTGCCTGGCGCATGCTCAGCGATGCTTCTATGAGAAGGTGGACTCGCCTCCTCCTCCTCCTCCTCCTCCTCCTGCTCACCGTAGACTGCAGGCGGCCAATGACAAGATGAAGGAGTCACTTCTTGCCAAGTTGGCTGCCGGGGTTGCCAATCTCTACGCCTCGGTGCATGCGGCGCTGACGGGTGAACATGTCACACCACTGCTGGGTAAAGTTGACGCGCCGTACAGCTGGGGAGGTTGCGAAACACTTTAAGGGAACCACGTGGGCCGGGGAGGCAGCGCAAGAAATGTTCACATTCAAGTCCATGGCTCATGTGCATGCGGCCAACGGGCTGGAAGAGGTCGGGAGGAGAAAGGAGGAAGTGCTGGAAGCTGACTATTCGGTCGCGCTGTTGGTTTTCAGGAGGCGAAGGGGATGAAGAAAGGGCAGGAGATTGGGCATCTGCACACAGCGAACTCGTTGTTGGAGCAGGCGTGCAAACTAAAGTTGAACAACCCGAAAGAGAAGGAGCTGAAGGGGAAGACCACGACGATGCAAGGGCTCATCGCCAAGGCAAAGAAAGAAAACGACGTGAGGGACTGGGAGGAAGGGCTGCTTGAGGTGACTGTGAAGTTGGCAGACCATCTACCACATGCCAGAAGAGAAGGCGATGCCTGACCCGGAGGCAAAGCAAGTCGTTCAGAGCGAGCCTCTGCCGAGCATCCAGGTAGCCCGGCCCTGCCCTTTAGTGATCGAGGGAATGTGAACATGAACCCCGAACCGAACGAAGTCCCGTTGCCAGCGAGTCTACCCATCCTGCAGAGGCGGCAATCTTGGTAGTTGATTTGATGGTGCTGGGCAGGATGCTGTCGGCTACGACTTGTTCTCTGCTCTGGTCCCTGATACCGTACGGCAAGCTGCATCGCAATATGCATCAAAGCGACAGGAATACTGCAATCAGGTAGAAACACGCCGTAAAGGACGGCAGACAAATTCAGAGCAAGAGGAATGGAAACATTGGGGAATGGAAGGGGGGGGGCAGTCATCGTGTTGCTCGCTGTGTTGTGGCGGGTTTGGGTGATTTGACAGCTGACGAGTGTGCAAACAGATTGTGCAAGAGATGAATGCCGACACTGAGGCCCTCCGCAACAAGCTCTCAACGATCACTCCCCAAGTTGACGCCTGCGACTTGAGCGAACCAGGTAGCTCTCATTGCCCTCTCGTCCGGAGGGGAGAAAAGTTTCCCTTAGCAACCGACTTGCCCAGGTCTCCCCAACCGCCTGAAGGAGAAAATCGCTGCCATCCAGTCCCAGGACGGAGTGAGAGGGTTGATGCAGAGGTTCCAGGTGTGAGATTGCAGGAGCAGCCGATGTGTTCTTATTCCCTTTGTGCCTCCAGCTCAACCTCGAGATGAAGGAGGACGTGCAAGGGAACGTCCAGCTAGCGAAGCGAGTGATCGAGGAGGAGGAGGCAACAGACAGCGATCTAAGGTGCTGGGGGATTGCGGGCGGCGAGGCAGGAGAATGATTCGCTCCCTTCTACAGGCAGAAGTTCGGAGTGAGATGGACGCGATCGCTGAGCTCGAGCATCAATGAGCCCTTGAAGAAGGACATGAAGGAGATCGAGAAACAGCTCAAACTCGCCGCCGATGCTGACGAGATTGTGCGAGGTCAGTGAGCGGTGTGTTGTCCCCGGGCTCATCGTATCTGCCTCAGGGAAGATCGACTCCAAGCGCTCGCTGCTGGACCTGCTGGGCCTCAACACTGAGCAGCTCGACGGGATGGTTGCAGGCTCAGGTGAGGGCTGAAGGAGAAATAAAGAAAGTGAGAAGGGAAGGTTGGATAGCAGGCATTAGAGGGGTAACATGAAAAGCGACAGGAATATGAGGGAGATAGTGGGGTAAAGAAGGTGAAGCGAGGGAAAGCAACAGACTTGAAGGCAAGACAAGGGAGGACAGGGCGAGGAACCCGGAGGAGGAAAGCCTAGAACGAGATGAAGAGGGGGCCAGTTGCTAATCTTTGAGCAGGAGACAGGGCGTATGAGTGCATGTCAGTGCAGAGTGCGCTGATCAAGACACGGGAGGCCGTCGCCAAGCTCAAGCTGATCATCAAGGAGGTGGAGAACTTGATCTCCCACCGGGAGCAGATCCGAAGCTCCATCATCCGCAGGAAGGAGAGCGAGGATGCAGTAAAGGTGCGGCAAGGCCGTGGCTCCTTCCTCGTGCTGATGACACCTCAGACGTTGAGCAACCTGATCCTTGGAGGGAAGTCCCAGGCAGAGGCCATGGACAATCTCCTGGCGGGATATGCGCAGTTGCGTGAGGAGTTTGTGAAGAACAAGAAGATTGTGCAGGAGCTGATGCAGAAGCTCGAGAAGGAGATCGACGAATTCCTGTCAGAGCAGAAGCAAGACGAGGAGATGAGCAGGAGAGAAGCTGTTTTGACCAAGATCTCGCAGGCCATCGACGCATACTCGGAGGTGCAGGAGAAGGAAGAGGAGAACGGGGGGAGGGGAGGGGAGGGGGGAGGGGGAGGGAGTAAAGGTGAGGTAAAATGTTCGGTTTTGTGAATGCGATACCCCCACAGGTCTCAAACTACGTCAGGGAAGGCGCTTCCTACTATTCAGCAACCCAAGAAAAGGTCAGCAATCTCCTGCCTCCTGCCTCCTGCCTCCTGCCTCCTGCCTCCTGCCTCCTGCCTGCTCCTCTCTCCCTCCCCTCCCTCCCTCCCCTCCTCTTCCCATGTTCCCTCTCCTCCCATCCCTTCCCGCGTCCTCCAACCACCCACCGCCTCTCCCTCTGATTGAAGCCTTTAGGTGAATAAGCTGCGATCGCGAGCCGAAGACTTTCGGGTCGCACGAGACATCCAAAAGGAGGACCTCCTCTCCTCCATCACCGAAGCATGCGCCCAAGGTGCCCCTGCTCCTGCTGCTCCTGCTGCTGCCGTCGCCGCTGTTCCTGGTAGGACGTGGAATAGTCTCATCGCGCTCAAGAAGCATCTGACGTCCCCGCAGTGCAAACAGCCATCCCCGTGGCTCCTGTGCAGACGTTCAGCTACTCCCGAGCCACTCCTGACACTTCCAAGGACGAGGAGTACGCGAGGCAACTGGCAGGTCTGGCACCCGCACCTCCTCCACCATCACACACCACATCCACCTTCTTCTCTTCTTTCTCTTGTCCATCCCGTGGACCTTTGCTTCTCTCTGCCCTCTTCTCCGTCTTCCACTCCCTCGCTTCGTCCTCGTGACCCATTGTCCCAGCCGAGTTCGCACGTGCGGAAATGTCGCCAGGCGCCTCCTCGTCCGCGCATGCTGCTCCATCTTTCTCAGGTGAGGAGCCAACGTGACAAGATCTCCTTGTGCGTCTGCTCATCCTGTCCCAGCAGCTCCTGTTTCAGCTGCTCCTGCTCAGCCTGTCGTAGGAATTGCAGAGGTGCCACTCCCTCCTCGCTGCTCCCAATCATCCTCATCCTTCCGCAGGCCATGCAGCCGACTCCCTTTTTCGCTCCTCCCTCCAATCCTCCTCCTTCGCATCTGGTATTGCTGTCCTTCCTCTTCCTTCTCTCCCGCTCATTCTCTCTCAAGGTGCAAGGCGTAGTGCAAGCGGGATCGGCTCCCACCCTACAGATGGCACTACCGCCCCAGCGCCCTGCTCCTCAGCCTCCAAGTTTCTCAGCTCACTCAGAGCAAGCTGCCACTCATGTCGCGACTGCCGTTGCGCCCGCTGCGGCGCCTCCACCTCCTGCTGCTCCACCGACACAGAACGTCAAGGTAATGAGAACCCTGCGGCCTCCTCGTGTACTCACGTGCTCCCTCGTCCTCGCCGCAGCTTCCTCCTGGTTGGGAGCAGCAGCTGACAGCTGACGGGCAAGTCTACTACGTCAACCACAACGACAGGACGACGTCCTGGGACCCTCCTGTGTGGGACGGTGACGCTGCCGCTGCCTCCTCGCCCTCAAGGTAACCATGATGCAGGCGAGCAGCTGCAGACCAAAGAAGGAGGATACGTCAATCAACGGCCCTTCTAGACCTGCGAGAAAATCAAGAGAAGAGATAGGCAGGCAGCCAGAGAGCCAGGCAGGAAGAGGGGAAGATCAAGTACGGCAGGGGGTGACGGTGTGCACGTGCTCGAGGTGGTTGGGTGTGGGAGGCTGAAGTATCGTCAGTCCTCAACGCATGCAGCATCATGCAGATGATGATCGTTTATTGAAAGTCGTATCATCTCGCACGCTCCTCGTGTCCTTGGAGCAGGCAACCATGAACTCCAACAGTTCCACCAAAAGTGAACTTCCCCTCACTGTCCCTCCTCCCTCCTCCCGATCATGACTGCACTGTCAACCTCTGCAAGTACTCCATGAACGTCTGAAAGCTCACGTCGTCTGTCTGCACGATCTCGCCAACCCCTCCCACCTGCTGGTTGTGAGTGGAGGAAGGGTTAACCTTGGAGAGCAGGAAGCGAGCCTGCGAACCGTGCTGGTCACAGTCAACGAAACGAGGGTACGGGAAACGGTCCCGCATCAGCTCCTTGGCCTCCTCTTGAGGAGCCTCTAGCAGCTGCTTGAAAGAAACATACTCTGGATTCTCCTGGAACTTCTGCCGCTTCCACTCCGCAATCGTCTCTCCGTGGAACAGGACGACGTTGAAGTAGGTGTCCAGGAGCAGGATGCGGTCAGGAGCGATGCTGCTGACATCCAGGAGGACGGGGCCTGGAGGATGGTTGAAGGAGAAGGCAAGGAGAGAGGGCTGAATCATCAAGGTCATGTTGGTCGTCCCCTCCTTGAGGAGGTAGATGCGGAAGAACGCCGTCTCGTCAGGAGAGCTGCCGAACACGTGCAGGAACTGAGACCTGCGAAGGTTGAACATGAACTGAGGGTATATCGAGAAGTTGGGGGCGAGGCGGAAGGACGAGGCGTCGTCCTTCCTGTACTCAGCAAACTTCTGGCACAGCTGGATGAGCTTGCGGTCCAACCATCGCAGGATGTCGAACGATTCCTCCGTCTCTGCCTTGTGCACCGCCCAGCGAGCCATGAGAGCAGCAGTCGCTTCCTGGTCGAAGGAGGAGGCAACTTCCATCCATCCATGTGGCCCGAGCTTGTTCTCTGTCGTGCTCTCCGCCGTCGCCCAGCTCTGCGCAAGGGTCGTCACGCGCAGCCGGTGCTGTCCGGTGCTGTGGATGTAGTGGGTCTGAAACTGAGTGTAGCGCAGCTGGCCCGGGGGGATCGGCTGAGTGTGCTGAGTCGTCACTTCGAAGAAGATGGAGACTGAGGTGCCTGGATGAAGACCGCATATCTTCCACGCGCTAGTCCCTCCCTGCCCTATCTCGGTCTCCGCCACGAACGGAGTCTTCTTATTCAGACTCGCGCAACAACCGATGGCTCCAGCGACCTTGAACTCTCTAGAGGTGATCACGTCCAGCTCGGCATTAAAGGCCATCTTGAGGTTGTTCTCCTCGTCACGAGCGAAAATCCTCTTGAACGACTCCTTGAAGATCACGTTGCTGAACGTGTCAGTCTGTACAATCGATCCTCCGGTCTTCTCAACGCAGGCCTTCATCTCGTGCACACCGCACTGATCCAGAGCGCATGCGAAGATGTCAATCACATGCCCGTTCTGCACGCACCTCTGCGCAATGCTATTGTAAAACTGGGTCGCTTTCTTTGCCCACTTCACCGAGTCATTGTCAATGTCCGAGTGGCCACGCATGGGCTCCTCCTTCTCCACCCCCACAACCTGCCCAGGTCCCTCGGTGCAAGGGCCACCCAGGAACATCATGATTCTGCTGGGATTGTTGGGGTTGCTGCACTCCAGAAGGCCCGCAGCGACTGCAAGCGCTGCCCCCGTGCAGCGAAGAGGACGGTGCTCGATCTTGACTGGCCAGGGGTCGTGCTCCAGCCCCTCAAGGATCCCAGTGAAGGAGAACTCGCACTCGCTGTAAGGCTGAATGAACCGAGTGATCATGTCTGGGTTTGCACCCTTCATACCCCGAGGCCCCAGGCCGAGGAAGTCTTGTACGATCTGCGTATTAACATCTTTGGTCCCTCGGAAAACATAACACTTGGGCATCTCCTGGCTCGCGATCTCGTGCACTTGCACGGTAGCACCGAAGGTGATGAGCCCGATCCTAGCATTCTCGGGGATCAGGTTGAGAGCCATCAGGAGGGAGTCCTTAAGGGCCATGAGCTCCTTCTCCTTCACGCTGGTGTCCACGACCAGTAGGAACACGGGGGGTGGGGCGAACGGGCGCTGAAGCTGATACTCGATCGTGGTGAACTGAGGGATCAGCTCAGCAGGAAGATTTGTCTCATTGATGTCAGCGTAATGATGAGGGAAGTGATTGCGGGTGGCGCAGAAGGGACAGATCCAGATCCTGTTCCTGTAATCCACCTGGCATGCCGGGTTCAACACAGCGCGGCAAGGTCCCTTGCAGAAGATCGGTTCGTAGGGAAGAGGAGGAGGACTATCCGCGATCTTCTTCAACGGGGAGTAGTGACAACCCAAGGGCACGACGCATCTGGTAGCTTCAAGTCTGCTCGTCGGCCAGATCGTGAAGCTGAAACGGACTCCGTCCGCTTCCTCCATGGCGTGGAAATCCATTCTCTGCTCTTAGCCAGATGCAGGCAAGATGTTTCCTGCCTTTAGAAGTCGAGCAAGAGACAAATCCTAAAACAAACCGTCAAGTGAGATCAAGAGAAGGAAACAGGGAAAGGAAGCGGGGGTATATCATAACTGACAAATCAGCGAGAACGATCTATCTTTGGGTATGCGGGAAACAAGTCCAATGCATACCGAAGTTTTCAATGAGGTTTCCCCCCACCTATCAACTGCTGCTCATCGATGTTCTCAATTTCCGAATGAAACGGCATATAAAATTGATTTGCGAACTCTGATATGCAGGAACTACATGACTGAAAGTGCATGTATTAATGCATCTTTTCTCTGTCCTCGTGTGTGCTCTGCTACATCTTCCGCTCCTCTTCTTCTCCTCTTCCTCTTAGTTCTCCCTATCCCTCCCTCCCTCCCTCTCCCTCCCTCTCCCTCCCTTCCTCTTCCCCTTCCCTGCCATCCCTTCAAGTGCTGCATTGCCACGCAGCCGCGCTTACCCCACGCTCACAGACGACCACCCCTCAGACTACCCCACTGGCAAATCCACCCCCTATAATCCCCTTACCCTACCAATGCCTGTCCCTCATATAACCCCCCTTTTGGTATTTCTTCTACCCCTAGTGTACGAGAGTACGACTACCCTACCTCATCAATTCTATATTCTTCGTTATTGCTACCCACCTTGCATATACCCCTACCCTCTCTTTGTATAATAGATAACCCACCCTTTAGGATCTTTTTTTTCTCTGACCCCACACTATAACCAAGTTTCACCGCCCGGTTCTCATCGCAGCCTACACCTTCATCGTGATGTACCCCTACCAAGTCCAAGTCAATGTCAGGGATGGGTACGGGTCCCTTTCAGACCCTACCCACAAGCTCCATCCTGTGACGTGGATGATCTGTTCGACAGTTACAAATGACGTTACAGACAGGGCCCGGATCGGACCGGCGATCGTCGGACCGTTCCGCTGGACGGTCCCGAGTCCGATCCGACAGGCCGCCCCGGGCCCGCGGCACTGAGCCGCTCCGGGGAGTCCTCCTGGCACTCACAGAGTCAATCACGGCGCCCATGTCTCACTGACTGAGCGCCGCATCAAAATGCCCGCGGCCGGGAACTCGCGGCGCGGCGACCGTGTGCCCGGCGGCGGGCCGCCGGCGGGCCGCCGCGGCAGCCCGGCCGCCGCCCGGCGGCCGGGATGCCCGGCGGCGGGCCATCCGAGTGCAGTGCCAGGTGAGACTCACGAGTCAGTCAACCATGTTGCCAGTGCGCCAGCCACTCAGCAGCCGGTCCCGACCGTACGGCCGCCGCGTGACTGGTCCGCGCCCCGAAAAAAAAAAACGAGGACTGGGGGTGGGCCCGGTGACGGCCGGGCGGCGGAGGTGACTCCCGTCATTCGGGCCAGCCCAGTCCGACAGATCGAGTTCGGCGATCTCATCATCCGGGCGGATGATCCCGGATCGCTTGAGTGGCGGGCGGGCGGCCGGGAGCTCCAGCTTGCAGGCTTCGCCGCGGCCCCGCGGCGGCGGCCGAGCGCCGGGCGGCCGGCGGCCGTCCGGCGGCCCCCGGGCGGGGCACTGGCCCGGGCCCCTGGCACTGGCAACCGGGCGCCGTGCGGGGGCCGCGCCAAGGACCGCGCGGCGTACCGTGCCATAGTAGGCTAAATCGCCGGCAACGGTGAACTTGCCAGTGGCACGGTGCCCGGCCGCGACTGTCAGCGGATCGGACTCCGGGACCGTTCAACCGTTCAACACCGCGCTGCCGCGCGGCCCCGGCCCGCGGGTAGCCGCAGTGCCCGCGTGTCGGACTCACTGTCAGAACTCGGACAGCCTCGGACTTTGAACGGCGGTGGCCGGTCACCGGTTCCAGGAAAATCCTTTACTCAAAGTAAACTTAGTAAGTTAAAGTCCGATGGTCAGTGCGAGTCACGGACGGTGTCAAAGCTTGAACTGGCAGGAGGCTGGCAACCGGACGGTTGCGGCAGGTATAGTCACTAGTAGCCTAATTGGCGGGCCCGGGGCACTGTGCGGCCCAGACTCTTGCTAGGCTTCAATGACTGTGACTCTGACTCTCACTGTCAGTCTCAGCTCTCCGACAGTGTGCTATTCAATCATCGGATACGTGGCCCTGGCATTGTACAACTTGCGCTATGTTAGCGCCTGCGCGCTCCGTATGCGATGCCGCCGAAGCTTGCTGAGCCGGCATCGCTGGCTTTGTCATAAGCAACACTGCGCACCAAACCGCCACAGCCCAGCACAAGGCTGCAAACACTGTGATGGCGATCTTGAAACACGGAGACGTCAGGCGGGGTCATCGCGCGGAAACACGAGAGGCTACCTGGGTCTGCAGGTGGATATTCTCCTTCAACATGTCATAGCCTTGCTCGTAGCCCAGCATGTCGCTGTCGTATCGGAGCTTCCACTGCAGCACATGTCACGCGTCCGATCCCTTGCACGCTTCTCCTATCCACGACCTTCCCGTTGACACAAACGCGCGGCTTGCCCGACCCAGAGTAGGTGTCGCCGTGGAGACAACTGGGAGTGAATCAAGGTCATGCGGCTGTCTGAGGCCACAAGCTTCCCACACTCACTCGTAGCACTTGTTGTTCACACAGTGACCTTGCCAGTCGATCACGCTCGTGTAGAAGCTGAACCTGGAGGCATCACAGCTTCAATGGCCGACCAACGGCTCCAGGCAGGTCGTCACCCGCCGCCACTGAGTGTACCCGACTCCATGCACTTCTGCTGTATAGTCAAGTCCTTGCTGACGGACTCCTGCGGAAAGCCGACAGGTCCAACAGTCAGAAAGCAGAGCACGCGGCGGGTCAGTCAGAGGCTACCGGGAGGCAGATGGACGCGGCCTGGTAGAATTGGGGGATCGCCGTCTTCTCCTTGCTGCAAGTCCCGGTACTGGGCGTTGGGGTTACAGGAGAGGACAGGCTTGCTCGCAGCTGCTAGATGGCCCACTCACCCGTCATTGATGCAACTGATTTCCTGGCTCGTCTGAAAGGCGTTGGGGATAAACTTCCCACAGAAGCGATTCTTGTTTCTCTCATGGATCAACCTGTAGTAGTAACCACTATAGACGTAGTAACTGTTGTTGTAAATCTTGTTCCTGGAAGCATCAAAACGAAGTCAGCCTAGCGGTATCAAAAGCCAAGACAAGTGTATACTCGTAGACATTCGAGACCAGGCCTTGGCGGATCTCGTCAATCGTATTGCACAAGTCATCATGTCCGTCCGGCAGCTCTCTCTTCTTGCAGATGCTTCTGATTTTCAAGTCCTTGTAGACGCCATAGTACTGCTTCACTTTCGCTTGATCAGCCGCGATGTACTTGCCCAAGTTTTCGAAAGCGCCTGAAATCTGGGACAGGGAAAGGTCTTGCGCACAATACTGATCCAGATCGCAGTCGAAGTCAGTTGTGCATTGCACACACACACCGACAAAGGTGTAGGGCTCTTTGGTGTCTGCAGATTGAGTCAACCCCGTGTCGCTCCAGAGGGGCAGACAAATGGGGTAACTCTTGTCACTGCAATCAGCCTGCACATGGCACTGGGAGTACGAGGGAGCTGACGCGCTGGCAGGGGCTGCAGGGGCGGCGAGGAGAAGGAGAAGGAGGAGGGAGGGGGAAGTCGACAGGAGCTTGCTGTTCATGTTGTATGCGCTGCGCTCGCTTGCGTTAGCTAGGAGTCACTGACAGCTTGAAATAGCGTCACGTTACGCCTCCTGGCTCTGACCCACAAGAGTCATGACAAAGTTCACCATCCACCCACCCCATGAAGTTGCCTCCAGGATGCCAGAGTAGGACCGGGTCCTAGAACCCTTGACCGCCCGTATGCCTTGCGCCTGCCTGCCAGGATTCAGGAATAGGACCGGGTCCTAGAACCGCCCGTATGCATTGTATTCTAGGACCCGGTCGGTGGATGGTGAACTTTAGTGATGACACTTGTCGTCATGTGCCAGCCCAGCAGGAGGGGTCAGAGCCAGGAGGCGTAGCGTCATTGCGCCTGCCTGAAGGAGGCTGAAGTTACCTCCAGGATAGGACCGGGTCCTAGAACCGCCCGTATGCATTGTACC